TCTGTCCCGACCAATAGAGGAACTTCCCAGAAGTTCCCAAACTTGTGGGAAGGAGCGTTTGTCACAGAGATGTTAGGGGGTATGCACATAGGTAGAAAGAACATCAGAGAGCAACCTATCACAAAACACAAGTGGCAGATAATTTCATGACAGGGTGTTAATTATAGGGTGAAGTAATAGTAGTCCTCCTTTGATGATATATTCTTCTAAACCTCAGGAGCCAATGCATTTGTAGTCTGCAAAAGACTAAACTGGAATCTTAATAAGTGATTAATGGATGAGACTGGCAGGGAGGACAGCTCGATAGATCATAACTAGAGATTTGAGGGCCAAAGATGTTTGAGCCATAGAGTGAAGGTCATAATAAAATGCAGGGCAGGCAGCTCATAGTCACCTCTCCTCACTCTCTATACTAAACAAGGAGAGGCTTGACTGTGACTGTCCCTCTATTTGTGTAGTATGTCGGTTTTAGTACATGTCTGTTTGTGTTTGCATTCGTATGTACATATGTTTGCTTGAGTGTGCCTTTGTCCATCCATCCTTCATGTGCATGCATGTTTCTCTGTGTGTGTGCAATTATGGTTTTATGTATGCATACGTGTGCATGTAAGTATCTCACTGTGAGTTTGTATCTTTATGTATGTTTCTGTGAGAGGTGCTAAGACATGGAGGTTGGGATGTCCAGTGGTGAAGCTTATTGAAAGGGTCATCAAGTTTTGTTTTGAGTTCAAGACCTAGAAATTTTTGACCCTGGCAATGCCCCTGAGAGATATACATTCTGTACCAGAATGAATTATGGTATAAGCTACTAGTATGAAACAAAGGGCCATCTGTTTATTTAGATAGTCAAAGATAGGTCCTCTACCTGGAATAGTAAGAACTCCTTGAAGTCATGATAGAATTAAATATAACTGGTTTAGAATCTGCCAATACAATTTAATATTTGCCTTCGTAAGGTTAAAAATAAAAAAAAATGATTGGAAATTGTATGTAATAAACAGTGAAGATAAGCAAGGGTAGATATTTACATTGCTGATTTATGTAAACCGGGTGAAAGGTGAAAAGGACCTCGTTACATGTCTAGTCAAACAGTGTTCTCCAGGAACAGGCCCATTATTTTCATAAAGTGAAAAGAACAAATCTAATTTTGAGATGAAGGTACAGTCATTTTTAAGTTGCAGAGTTTTTAACTAGTACTGATTGCAAACGGAAATGACAGGTAGAATCCAGCATGACTGCGGGGTCCTGCAGTTGAGCCATAAACACAAACACGCATACACTGACACACAGGTACTGACCCATATGCACCAACTGACACACAGGTACTGACCCATACCCACACATTGACACACAGGTACTGACCCATACGCACACATTGACACACAGGTACTGACCCATACGCACACATTGACACACAGGTACTGATCCATATGCACACATTGACACACAGGTACTGACCCATATGCACCAATTGACACACAGGTACTGACCCATATGCACCAATTGACACACAGGTACTGACCCATACCCACACATTGACACATAGGTACTGACCCAAGTGCACACATTGACACACAGGCACTGACCCATACATTCATACTGACACACAGGCACTGACCCATGCACACACACTCACTGACACAGACATTGACACATATACATACCACTACCTTAGAACTTCACCAAGAACTACTAACTGCAAGAAGAAGAATAAACAATAAACAATAGAAACTGTATTCCAGCAGCATTGTCATTCCTTCAATTATGAGTTTACAGTTGTCATTGCTGCCTCAAAAACTAGCATCACTGGGCCACTAGTCTTTAACATGTTGCTCCATAAGCAACATCAGGACTACACTTGCACAACAGCCTACAGCTATGGGAAGTTCTGAACTCCACCCTGCCACCAGTGAGACACAGCTAGACCACCTTCTGTACTGTCTTTTTACTCTGCAGAATTGGTTGGTGTTTTTTAAATGCCAGTAATAATACTAATAGAACTTGTAACCGATGTGACCACTATGGACTAACAAGCCTTGCTGTAAAGGACATGACACACACAGCCAGCTGCAGGTTTTAACAATGAGGCCAACAGCAGAAAGCTCATCTGAAGTCACATCCTCTGATACTGTGATATCTGTTGCATCCTCTGTTAGAATAGATAGAGGCTGTTTGCCATGACATACAATTCCTGGTCCTGCCCCTGACTTTGTCTCTGCCCCTGGGGTTTCACCCCTGCAGAACAACACTATGCTAACTGTCTCTTTGCCTTCTCAAAATAAACATTATTTTGTTTGATTATAGGAGTAGTGGTCCATGTACTTATATGCTTTGTAAGAAATTACAAGGCTTTGATTCTGATTATTATTCATTCAAATAGCAGTCCCAGTTAATATGTAGTAATATTGTGTGAGAAATAATTAAAGTTGTTTTCAGACACCTAAATCTGTTTTTACAGGACAGTGGTTTGTTGTGCCACGCATTTTCTATCAAAAAGTGAGAATCAGTGTAGTGTTGCTTATATCTGTGGATTAGCTAGTGGGGTGTGCAGCCACAGTCTGTAGCCACACTTTAAGGTTTATTTACTAAAGTGAGAATTCAAAGGTAAATTCAAAGTGAATTTAAAATGTAAGGCCAGAGTAGCTGAAGTGAAAGCAAAGCTAACTTAGAGATTTTTTTGACCATTGTAACGGAGCTCCTTGTACTCCGACCGAGTACCCTCCGTTGAAGGACGCTCCTAGCGCTTCCTGAGGACTCCAAGCAGTGCAGCAGACACCACAACCACTGCAGACTCCGCAACCGCTGTAGCTTGACTGGAGTCTCACTGTCTTCCTTCTACCCTGGATCAGCTTCGGTCCTCCAGGACCGTGTGGGAAAGACCTCTTCCTTCCACCCTGTATGAACCTCCAGCATCCAGGACTGTGCAGGGAAGATCCCTCCTCCAAGGAGAGCATGTCAGGAACAAGCTCTTAAAAGAGCTAAGTGATTCAAGCTCAGGGTAGCATGCAGAGAATAGCAATCCCCAATGTGATTATAACAGCTCCCTCCAATAATGAGACAAGGCTACATTTAGAGGGATCAAGCAGAACTGTTTAAACCTTTATTTCCCTTGGGACCAGCCCATAGGGTCACAACATTAACATTGCTGTGAAAACTCAATAAAATCACAAACAGTCAAACCATAGCAGGCAACACACAGTGACTTATCACAACACAATGGCACATTTTTAAAGGGGTGGGGGAGACAATATTTAACAGAAAATATCTCACGTTTCTGCAGAATTAGCAATATGCAAATCTACCCGAATATGCAAATGAACCAGTCTTGCTATTCAGGTAGTGCATATTGCTGTTGCTACCAACAGAGGGCACTAGATAAGCTCCATAGCCAAATCCACCTAGTTGGTAGCAAACCTCAGCAGTACAGGAGAGCAGGCAATACATTACACAGTACACACACACACTATAAACAATTACATTACACACACCCTGCACCTATAAAGGGTACAGGGTGACTAAAACATAAGAGAAATAAAGCAACCTACATAAATAGTCTGTCTGAAGGTAGAATAGGGGCTTTAAATCCAAATACATCAAAGAGTCATAGTCAAGCAGGCCTCTCCAGTACCCAGTGGCGAAGGGCACTTCGTCACAACCATTTTGAAATTAAATTTGAAATTCACTTTGAATTCTCACTTGTGAATAAACCCGTTTGAGTTTCCTGGCATTAAAGGAACACTATAGAGTCAGGAACATAAACATGTATTCCTGACCCTGTAGTGCTAAAACCACCATTTAGTTGGCTAGCTGCACCTTAATCCCCTTAAAAGGTAAGAAAAAATACCTTCTTTCCAGCGCTGCCTCCATGCTGACATCATCAGAATTGATGATTTCAGCAAATCCAATGGAATTTGGCAAGGAGGTGGGATGGGGCAGGGCCAAACACGACCGTTGCCCATCAGCACCTCCTCATAGAGATGCATTGAATCAATGCATCCCTATGAGAAAAAAAAATCAGCATCTCCATGAAGAGGGTGGAGACACTGAATGACTGTGTAACACTGCCTCAGGAAGCACCTCCAGTGGCCGTTTGAAACGTGGCCACTGGAGGTGTCCCTAGGGGGCAATTTAAACACAGCCTTTTTTTATTGAAAGGCAGCGCTTACATAAAATTCCTGAAGGCACTCATTATACTGACCAGAACAAATACATTAGGCTGTACTTGTTCTGGTGACTATGGTAACTCTTTAAGTAAGACTGAGAAACAGATTAAAAAATCTCTTGCTATTTTATATTGATTTAGGTTTCTGTTTCACGCTGCCTTTGGCATTCTCAAACTGTGTATATAATGCAGTGTATCTAAGGTGGCAGGCACCTTACACAGACTCAGAGAACATAGCACAGCCACAGTCTATACACTGATGAGTCAAACGGGGGATAAAGGTTGCTCCAGAAATTATAAAAACAGAGATGTGTTATAATATATATATATATATATATATATACACACACACACATACATATAAAAAAAGCCATATATATATATATATATATATATATATATATATATATATATATATATATATATATATATATATATATATATATAATAACACATCTCTGTTTTTATAACAGATCCAAGGTGGAAGGAAGACAGTGAGACTCCAGTCAAGCTACAGCGGTTGCGGAGTCTGCAGTGGTTGTGGTGTCTGCTGCACTGCTTGGAGTCCTCAGGAAGCGCTAGGAGCGTCCTTCAACGGAGGGTACTCGGTCGGAGTACAAGGAGCTCCGTTACAATGGTCAAAAAAAATCTCTAAGTTAGCTTTGCTTTCACTTCAGCTACTCTGGCCTTACATTTTAAAATCACTTTGAATTTACCTTTGAATTCTCACTTTAGTAAATAAACCTTAAAGTGTGGCTACAGACTGTGGCTGCACACCCCACTAGCTAATCCACAGATATAAGCAACACTACACTGATTCTCACTTTTTGATTTATCTTCCAGCAAGTTTTACCATTTGGATTCACACTTGGACTTATATTTGAACTTTCTTTTGCTTTTTCTTTGTTTGTCCTCATATATATATATATACACACACACACATACATATAAAAAAAGCCATATATATATATATATGAGGACAAACAAATAAAAAGCAAAAGAAAGTTCAAATATAAGTCCAAGTGTGAATCCAAATGGTAAAACTTGCTGGAAGATAATTCCTCAAAGAGTCAGGGTAGTTCCTCTAGAATGGGGTCAGATCAGAGTATTCTTGGCAGCCATATATGCAACAGAAAGAGAGAACTAATGGTGCAGAAAATCCCAGAATAAGATAACAGTAAACAAAACGTCTATGGTCCTACTTACAATTGATAGAAATTAACCTAGCTTTAGTCTGAATGGCGTACAGTGGTACAATCTCAATTTATAGGATACATGAGACGGTGTAGGTAGGCAGGTGTATTATCGGTATAAAGATCATAAAGATTATAAAAGAGACAGCAATAGTGCTCACAGTATAAAAGGTACCAGGAGTATAACATAGCGAATTGGTACTCACATTTAATTGGGTAGACTAACTGCTCAATGTGTAGGCATAAGTGGTATAATCCCCACTGTGGATTATTTTAGAGTAGTCCTCAATGGAACTTAAAATCGGATGCCAGGTAGAAAATAATAAAAAAGTAAACTGGCACACTCACAGTGGAAAGAGATAAAAAAAAATGTAAAACAAACATTTAAGATAGCCACTATATACACTGCCTCTGGGCTCAAACTGCCTGCATATTTATGGAATAGTATTTAATCAGATTTCAATATGTGTGTCTATCCTGATTGGGTGCAATGATAAAGCCATGGGTGCAACCCATTGCTACTTTGCCCTTCGGTTCCTAACTCCTCCAATTATTCAGTAAATAAAACCTCTGATGCAGTATGGTCAGTTTACAGGAATATTAACTATATTCACTCAGTTTAACTGGCACATTATGGAAAGTTCCATTAAGAATATGTGTAATTTGTCCTTTCACCTATTATGTCACTAGTTGAGCTGTTTTGTTTCTTTTTCTTCCAACTTTTTGCACTTCCCCTCTATTGGTTGCATCAGTGACATGTAATGGGTGATTCTAGGTGAAATTTGATTACCTTTCACATTTTTATGTATTTCACTATTTCAAAAATAGAAATACCTCTGTGCATTAACAATACAACACACTTACAAAAATTAAATACCAAACACATCATTCAATAGGGGGTAGAGACTAATATTAAAGAAGTGGAATTTAAAGGAAACCTATAATCTCAAAAAATAATAATCGCTATATTGGGACTATAGGTTCCCTTCTGTCTAGAGTAGGACAGGATCATTGAACCCAGAGCACTTCACTGAGATTAAGTGGTTTGGATGACTATAGTGTTCAAATAATTAGTATGGGCTGTGGGGTGTTGGTATGAGCCTGCTGCCCAGGTAGTGGCGGAACTACCACGGTGCCTTCACTACAAGGGACCCGGCCACCCTGCTGACCCCTGTGACCACAAGACGCTGAACGGAGCCCTCTCACAGGGGGCCAAGGAAGCTCCTACTCAGTGAGGCAGAGTAGGCACCTGCTTGATGGCTGTTGCCTACTCTGCCGATATATGCTGCAAGGAGGTGAGAGGACAGGAGGCGGCAATGTAGGTAGCGTAGGAGGCTGACCTGGGAGTTCCTCTCTCCTCCCTCCGCGCCATATGTGATGTCGGCAACCGTAATGTGACGTCATTCCAGCCCCGGCATACTAACTCTGTCGGTGTGTGTGTGTGTGTGTATGTGTGTGTGTATCAGTCTGTCAGTGGGAGTGTGTGTGTCTTTGTGTGTCTGTCTGTCAGTGTGTCTTTCTGTCTGTATGTGTGTCTGTCTGTCAGTGCATGTGTGTGTCTGTCAAAAATGTATGGGGGTGGGAGAGACATGTGGAAGTGGTAGGTGGGAGAGACACATGGGGGGCTGGCGGTGGGTAAGAAACATGGAGGGACTGGGGGGTAGAATGAGGCATATTGAGGGGCTGGCAGAGAGAGATGAGACACAGTTTTTGCACCGGGGCCTGGTGGTTTCTAGTTGCGCCTTTGTGTAAAAGCTTATTGAAATGGTAAGAAACTAAGGAAAACAGGTAATGAGTACATTTGGAAGTGACTATAAACCAGTTCAGTTTAGATCATATGACTGCATTGTAAATTACAGGACCAGAAAGAATAATGAATTATACATTAGTATTAGGCATAAGTATTAGTTGCACTGTATTTTTTTCATGTCATATCAATTTTAGCATGTTTGGATGACAGTTTATCAATGCCATGTACAAATGAGAAGTCATTGTCTTGTTACTAACAAAAAGATATTAATATTATTTAATTCTGGTATGTTAAAATTTGACAATATTGCTTAAAGGGACACTATAGTCACCAGAACAAATACAGCGTATTGAATTTGTTTTGGTGAGTAGAATCATTACCTTCAGGCTTTTTGCTGTAAACACTGTCTTTTCAGAGAAAATGCAGTGTTTACATTACAGCCTAGTGATAACTTCACTGGCCACTCCTCAGATGGCTGTTAGAAATCCTTCCTGGGTCATGGCTGCTTTCGTTCAAGTACCACTGAGACATTTTTATCAGTCTTTCGAAACAAGTTGTATTTGAAGGTCTGCCTCTCTGAGCTATCTAGCCTAAAGTTGTGAGATATTTGGTGTGGATTATGTTGTCACGTGTAAACGCATGTACATAGCTGAGAAGCTACAAACTATATTGAGATCATTTCTAAATATGGGAAACAGACAGGGCTAAGAGTGAAAGCTTGGGAGCTCCACGTTTATACAGTCCTGACAAATTGGGTCCTTCATAAAGAGTCTAGCTTTAAAGATTAGTAAAAAGAAATCTCATTGGAACTACTTATCATAGCAATGCTTTGACAGATTTTGTAAAGTCATAAGTAAAAGTGTAAAACTTAAAAATTATGTGGTTCCTATATTCAAAAAGAGTTCAAAATCCTTGCCTGGAAATTATAGACCTGTGAGCTTAACTTCTGTGGCTGGTAAAATATTTGAAAGGTTATTAAGGGATGATATTCAAGAATTCCTTGAGAAGAATATGGTTATCAGCAAAAATCAGCACAGTTTTATGAAGCACAGGTCATGTCAAACTAACTTGATTGCATACTACGAAGAAGTAAGTAGAAGTATAGATCAGGGTGTTGCAGTGGACGTGATCTATTTGGATTTTGCCAAGGCATTTGATACAGTTCCACACAATAGATTAGTGTTCAAACTCAAGGAAATCAGTCTAGATGAAAATGCTTGTTCTTGTGTAGAACATTGGCTTAAAAACAAACAGAGTACAAAGAGTTGTCATTAATGGTACATTTTCAAGCTGGACAGAGGTGGCAAGTGGTGTCCCTCAGGGGTCTGTTCTGGGACCCCTTCTATTTAACATGTTTATAAATGATCTTGAAGACAGCATTGAAAGTCATGTTTCAGTGTTTGCAGATGACACAAAACTTTGTAAAATAATACAATGTGAGCAAGATATTACTTTGCTGCAGAGGGATTTAGATAGACTGAGGGACTGGGCACTCAAATGGCAGATGAACTTTAATGTTGAAAAATGCAAAGTTATGCACTTCGGCGTAAAGAATACACAAGCAACGTATACCCTAAATGGAAGCAAATTAGGGATAACAACACAAAAAAAGGACTTGGGAATTGTTATAGACAACAAACTATGCAACAATGTGCAATGTCAGTCAGCAGTGGCCAAGGCCAGTAAGTTATTGTCATGCATGAAAAAGGGCATTCATTCTCGGGACGAGAATATCAATTTGCCTCTTTATAAATCACTGGTAAGACCCCATATTGAATATGCTGTGCAATTTTGGGCACCTGTTCTAAAGAAGGATATTATGGCACTAGAAAAAGTGCAGAGGCGGGATACAAAATTAATAAAAGGAATAGAACATATCAGCTATGAAGAAAGGTTAACAAATTTAAACCTATTTAGTTTAGAAAAACATTGCCTGTGAGGGGATATGATAACATTATACAAATATATTCGGGGCCAATACAAACCATTGTGTGGAAATCTATTCACAAACCCGACTTTACATAGGACACGAGGCCATGCGTTTAGACTGGAAGAAAGAAGATTTCGTCTAAGGCAAAGGAAAGGTTTTTTACTGTAAGAACAATCAGGATGTGGAATTCTCTGCCTGAAGAAGTGGTTTTATCAGAGTCCATACAGATGTTCAAACAGCTACTAGATGCATACTTGCAAAAACAGAATATTCAAGGATATAATCTTTCAATGTAGGGTAATAACTGCTTGATCCAAGGATAAATCTGACTGCCATTCTGGGGTCAAGAGGGAATTTTTTTTCCTAGCTTGTTGCAAAATTGTGCTTCAAACTGGGTTTTTTTGCCTTCTTTTGGATCAACAGCAAAAAACAAATGTGAGGTAGGCTGAACTTGATGGACGCAAGTCTCTTTTCAGCTATGTAACTATGTAACTATGTAACTATGTAAAAATAACTTTCAAAAACACAGGTTTACGATAAGAATAATCAGTGCTTATCTACCTGTACCAAGCCATTTCAGTGACGCTACATATACTATAGTGCTGTGCACCAAGAGAACAGGTCATATGATAACAAACAGGCAAAATGCTTGAACTAATGAAGCAGGAACTTCTGGGTCATATAATTCAGGTGCAGAATGTATGTTAATCATAAGCAGCCCTAACTGCTGCTCAACAGGTGTGTGTAAAGTTAAATGTGTATTACTGATATATTGACAGTGAAAATGAAGACGTTGAACAAATCAGAAAGTAACTGAGCTGCTAAGCTATCTGCATAGTAGAAACTGACAAAAGTGATGCATTTTGGAAAAAGGAAGTTCAGTCTTAGTAGTAAATAATTCGAAACTGGAAGAGGAACAAGCTGATCCACGCGATTATCTGAACAGTGTTTATTCCCCTGTTAGACTCTTGGAGAATTCATGTGTTACAGATTTAAATGGACTATATATATTACTAAGTACACCATATGATTGAATAGCTTGTAGAACCACATAGCAGTATTAACTTGAAGTAATCATTTTCTGTATGACGTCTCTCACATCATTGTGGAGTAGACATATTTAATTCGTTTGTAATGTAAATTCGGACGAATTTCGGCAAATCGGATGCTTCCGAAAGTCCAAATTGCCTAATGTCCGAATAGCAGAATTTCCAAAGTGCCAAATTTTCGAAAGTGCTGAACCAAACCGACTTGCCGAATTTCCGAATTACCAAATTGCTGAAGTACCGAACCGAAGTGCCGAATTTCCAAAGTGCTTCCTGTTTCTGAAAAGGCAAAACAAGAGAGGGAGGGAAAATTCCATGAATGATGACAGGAATCTAGACCAATAAGCTAATTCCTGGCACTGGGAGCCCTATAGATGTGTAAGTGGTTGTGGTGGCAGTCTGAGCACCTAACCCTACCCCTAAAACCCTTACCCTAACCATACCCTTGATGTGTAAGTGGTTTTGGTGGTTAGGGTTAGGGTAGGGCAAGGGTTAGGGCAAGGGTTAGGGTTAGGGATATGGATAGGGGTAGCGTCGGGGTTAGGGTAGGGTTAGGGGTAGGATTAGGGATAGGGTTAGGGAGCCCTACAGATGTGTAAGTGGTTGTGATGGCAAGAGAAGGATGCTTACGAATGTCTGAAGTGCCAAAGTCCCCTATTGCTGAAGTCCCGTATTGCCGAAGTCCCGAATTTCGGAAGTGCCGAACCAGAGTGCTGAAGTGCCGAATTGCCGAACTGAACCGAATTTTTAGCCCATGGACATCCCTATTGTGGAGGAATTTTGGCCCACTCTTTTTTTACAACATTGCTTCAGTTCATTGAAGTTTTCTGGCATTTGTTTAGGCACAGCTCTTTTAAGGTCCCATCAAAGCATTTCAATCGGGTTGAGGTCTGGACTTTAACTGGGGTGTTGCTACACCCTGACTCTTTTCTTTTTCAGCCATTCTGTTGTATATTTGCTGGTGTACTTGGGATCATTGTCCTGTTGCATGACCCAATTTCAGTCAAGCTTTAGCTGTCAGACACTTAACCTCACATTTGAGTCTAGAATACTTTGGTAAACAGAAGAGTTTATGGTCCATTCAATGATTGCAAGGTTTCCAGGTCCTGTGTTCAATGCAATTTTGTAAACCTTACCCCTGCTGCCATGTTATTTTTAGAGAGAAGGGGCTGTCTCCTGGCAACCCTTCCAAACCATAGAGTGTTGAGTCTTTTTCTAATTGTGCTATCATTAATTTAAATATTGAACATGCTAATTCAGGCCTGTAGAGTCTGAGATGTGATTTTTTTCTGAGCATTGCACAATCTGTCCTTAGAATAAATTTGCTGGGACGTCCACTCATGGAAAGATTGGCAACTGTCTTGAATGTTTCACTTTTGAATAATAATTCTCACTATAGAATTATGGGCTTTAAATTGATTGCAAATTGCCTAACCCTTTGCAGTTTGATGGGCAGTAGCAATTGCTTCTCTAAGATTGCTGATGTTTTTCCTCCTTGGCATTGTGTTAACACACACCTGAATGATCCAGACAAGCAAACCTCTACAACTTCAGCTTTTATAGAGGTGGTCACACTTGCTGATTATCAATAATCAAGGTTTTTGATTAGCAGCACCTGTCTGCTACTTAGCCTCTTAATTCTTATGGAAGCAGTAAGTACTTAGTTTTCCATTTTTGCTTTATTTTTGTTAAATAAATCACAAGTGTAATATATCATGTGTTGTTGTTCATCTGAAGTTGTATTTACCTAATTATAAGACCTGCTAAGGAACAGATGATTGTTATTATGTCCTGACATGTTAAACCATAGAATTTCCTTTTCCCATAACTATATACACACACATTATATACTTGTTCTGTGAGCACAAAGCATCATGTACATCCAGAGGCAGCTCTCTAAGTAGGCAGTTAGGCGGCCGCTTAGGCCTCGCGCTGGCTGGTGCCTAGCGGCCGCCTAAACCACCTTAGGGCAGACTGTGTCAGGTCCTTGGTCAGTATGTCGCCGGGTGTGAGGCCCCTCCTGTCTGCCATCACATACACCGGTCTGCAGCTCCGCAGTGTGCACAGCTGCAGACCATGTGTCTCGCGAGAACTGGCCAATCAGAGCGTTGCCGGGTCTTGCACGATACATGGTCTGCAGCTCTGCTGAGCTGCAGACCGGATGTAATGGCCACCAGACAACCAGGGAGCCCACTGGACCACCAGGCAGCCCACACTGGACCACTGGTTAATAAAGAAAGGTATTTAGTCCCTCCCCTCCCCATCGTCTCCCTCACACCATCACCCCCTCCCTCTCACATCATCCCCCCTCACACCATCACTCTCTCCCTCTCACAATCACCCCCCTCCCTCACACCATCACCCCTCCTCCCACTCACAATCACCCCCCTCCCTCACACCATCACCCCTCCTCCCACTCACATCACCCCCTCCCTCACACCAGCACCCCCCCGATCACACATCACCCTCCCTCTCCATCACTCCCTCCCTCTCACCATCACCCACCCTCCCTCTCACATCACCCACCTCCCTCTCACATCACCCCCTTTCCCTCTCACATCACCCCCCTTTCCCTCTCACCATCACCCCCCTCTCCTTTACACCATCACCTCCCTCTCACCATCACCCCATAATGTCAGACCTCTGTGTACACCCCATAATTAGCGTTACTCAAAAATATACTGCTTTACTCTCCACCTCACAAATCACACACATAATTTATTTTCTTAAGTTATACTTTATACATGAAAGCTGCGTACATGCCTGGAGCGACCTCATTGATAGTTAGTTAGAAGCAGTATAATTCCATTACTGGTATTTAATGAAGTGAATTGTTTTGTGCTAGTTTACCGTGGTGCATATTTGGGGACATCATGTAGCAGGTGTTGTACCAGTTCATAGTTATGTTTTCATATTTCTCCCCTGAGGTGGAAGTGGATAATATGGCGGTGAAACAACCTCTGACTCTGGCTCCCACAAACCCAGACACTTTTCTGGTTACTACCACGGTGCTGAAAGCACTTTTGGTGGACCTCCAGACACACATCCTATCGGACATAGTGACAATCTACAGAGATATCCGGGGCCTGTCGGGCCGGATGGGAGTCCTGGAGAACACCACAAGTGATCATACCCAGCAGCTTGCTACACTACAGCAGACCATAATAGATCTACAGCAACAGGCCAAAAGACTTGACTGCCACTTTGCTGCACTGGAAGACATGAAGGTTCGGGGTATCAAGGAGGACACCTCAGAAGCAGAATTGCCTCATCTACTGAAACTCTTATTTCAGGCACTACTCTCTCAGAGACAAAGAAAGACACTGGGGCTGGATGGAATCTTTTGTGTACCAAAGTCATCTAGAGCTCTGGCTGCTGCACCAAGAGACCTAGTGCTCCAACGCCAGAGTGGGAGGGATACGTTCGCAATCCTGGCAATGGTTTCTTCTCTGGACTCTTCCTTTCCTCTGTTTCTGTCTGACCTACAGATCCTCAACCTATGGCTTGTCTCCTAGATTCTGTCCCTTTGTGGAAGAATCCTTGACTTTCAGATCAATTATAATTTTGGATTACATGATTCGGACTTCCCTCTCTATGTGAACACGATCCTGCTGTGTATTTCTGCACTGTATACCTCCTTTGTACCAATTCCTAAACTCTAGTCTTTTTGGAAGGTGACTCTCGAAGTTCCCACAGGTCCATAGGCAGCTTACTGGTTTGTAACTCCTCCTTTACATTTCACATAGGGATGGTGAATGAGGTCAAGCAAATTCATGGTTCCAGAGCCCCTGGCTTATCCCTGGGCTATAGGCAGCTGCCTAAGGTCACCTTATGGCTAATTCTGCTCTGAATTGTCCTACTGCAATTGGATTCCAGTTCCAAAGCTAGAAAGGAATATTTTCATTCCTCTTACTCAAATGATGTGATACAGACTTATGCTACTTTGGTCTTAAATTTGAAATTCACTTTAAAATCTTACTTTAGCTAATAATGCTGTTACAGTTATCTGTTCTGTTAATGCACATATAAATCAATGTGGATCGATAACAATGCATCTGAATGATAACAGGGGAAGTATTTGCAAGTACTCCTGGCAGTTTCCATATCAACATCTCTTTAAAAAACATTTTTAGATCTTACTACGTTATTGAAAAAGATAACTGTCCTTGTAATGGAAGCATTCTTTACAAATAAGGAACTATCTCTGTGTTTTCCACTGTCATTTCCCTATTTGAGCAATCAGGATATCATAATGGATGCTGAAAATGTCTGTGCTATTTTGGAAACCAAGTGATTGAGAAATATATGAGGAAGTACAAATACAAAGTAGAGGTATAAATATGTTTCTTGTAATGTCTCTTCACAATTTCTCTTGAACAGATAACCCTTAATATTGGACATATCAGAAAAGGAGTTTTTACAATTTTCATTTAAACGAAAACATTTTGGATACAAAGTACTGCAAGCAAAAGGAAATCAATCGTCATATCAGTTGAACTGCTTAAAAACGTGAAAAAACTATATTTTCTTCGTATGGGAAAAGGTATGTTATATTTATGACTATTTGTACATTTGAATATCAAATGTTGTTAACCTAAAAGAATACAATTTATTTTTGCATAACAGTGTAATTTTCTTTTTATATAATTATTTGCTGAATATGTGAATAATAAATAGTTGAGTTTTGTAAACTGAAATTACTTTTCTAGACATTTTATTAAATGTTGATAATTTTGTTTATCCTTATTTCTACAAAAAAAATGAGAATCTGCAAAATCTATTTCTTTATGTTTTTGCTAAACTAGTTAACATTATCTCATTCCTATATATTTACTTTGTTTGTCCACTATATATGTATGAAGATACAAATGTAAACTAAATACAGGTACAATAAAAAAAATATTAATTTCTTGTCATAATTAGTTTCTGTATTTACTCAATATCTATTGTAAATAGTATAGTGTTTAGTATATTTGCTGTAATTATATTACACGTGTATAATCATTGCATAACGTTCTATAGTTAGTACATTGTGTCCTCCTTCTTTTTTTCTCAGAATGTTGTTTAATAAAGTGAACACAAGTTTATTCTTCATAGTAATGAGCACATGTCTGCTGGAGACCTTTGCCTTTAGTGTTTCCCGTGTGGACAACTCAGGTACATATAAAAAGTATTTGTATGCATATTAGAAAGATGTGTAACATTTTTACATGATAGTTAATAAAATTTGTGCTGGGAGGGCAGCTCTTGGTGTTTCACGTTATGAACTAATTCACTGTCATATTTCTTTAGGATTCAGATCTACTAATGTGAATTCCAACTGTCTTCTGCTTAGTATTGGCCTTAGGCTCACCTCTTTGCATGTGACTTACGCAGCCTACCTTAACACTTCTTGTAAAGAGTCATCTAATGTTTACAATTCATTTATTGCAAATTCTGTTTAATTTAGAATTTCTAATCACCTGCTATGTTAATAGCTTGCTAGTCCCTGTAGGAGCCTTCTATATGTAAATAAAGTTAAATTTACAGAGCAGGAGGTAAAAACTTTTAAAATAAGTTACATCTGATTGAAAATGAAAACATTTTGTTTTCATGCAGGTTGTGTCAGTCACAGCCAGAGGATGTGTTTCTAGAGATCCATAAAGAGAAACAAAAGTGATTTAACTCCTAAATGGCAGATAACTGAGCAGTGAAACCTCATGAGATATATAAAAACTGCTTCATTATGCTAAAGTTGTTTTGGTGACTATAGTATCCCTTTAATTTCGGTTTGTCCTCTGTTTAGTAGATGACTCCCTAATATGTTATCCTTATCAAAACAAATGAATGCAAAATGGATTAATTATTTACAGATCAATTCATTGTCCTCTTGTTTTTGATTTATTCTGCCTCTGCTAGGAAATATTTTTGTGAACCAACCTGACTATCTCACCTTTTGTTATTTGTGTAGACACATGCCAGAATCAGATCACACATTTCTTGGCATACTATGTTCTAAGTGGAGAACCTGCTGCCATCCACTGTCCTGCCTTTCAATACCTTCAGATACACTTTTCAGATCTTCCTGAGCACTCACTAGAACTGGTTTGGACAAGAAATTTTTCTGAAAATATTGGAGAGGAATCACGGATTCAAGCAAATGAAGAAGTACTGTGGTTTTACCCAGCAATAAAGGAAGATTCTGGAATTTATTCATGCATTTTAAGGTACAATGTCTGGTATTATCAACCATTAATTTAAACAGACTGTGTGCTTATTATATATAATAAATTCTGGTGCTATATTGACATAGATGGCACTCCAAATGTTGTGTACTACATCTTCCATAATAATTTTGCAGCTCTAATGTAAGTAAAGCATCATGGGAGGTGTACTTCACAACATCTGGAATGCAAAAGGTTATCTATCGCTGGATTAGAGGTGGCTATGGATATTTATTAACAAACAGAAAGCATCAGAGACACAACAGAAGGTTTAGTAACATTTCATTTATGTACAGAGTTACATTTCCTGACCCTAAATAGAGCCAAATCACTGCAGAGAGTGGAAGAAGAATGAAGGATTGGCATAAGAACGTTATTGATTATGCTATCTTAAGTGTACCTATGATCTTATTTTATTAACTACAGGAGGAAAATATTTTGGTTAAGTCTCTCTTTACTAGAACTCCACAGCAGCACAAGTTAACCAAGAGAAACAACCAATTAAAAAGCAACAGAATAAATACATCTCCCATGCTCCTCTTGCACCTCCTCTTTTTGAGTAACAAACAGTACAAAGAAACAAGTTCTAAACACTTTACAGATAACAATGAGAACATAAACCATAAATAAAAGTAGCCTTGCGGGGACTCCAAACTAGAAGAGAAATGGTTCCTCAGGCAAAACTCTGGAGTCAAAATGTAAACTGAAATAAGAAAAAAGAATTGAAAATGAACATAGTAAATATCTGAATTAGTAAATTTACCCATAGAAAACATTATATGTATAAATTAGCAAAACAAAAGCATACACCAAATGCATATCATAGCAAAACAACAGTAAGTTAAACAATGGAATCATCAAGTAAACAAGAAGACATACATACCCATCCCCAAACCGGAACCTAAACGCTAAACAATGAAAGGAAAGAGAATCCCACAAGTAAATTGTGTAGCAATCCACGATTTGGTTAACGACGCGAATAGGTGACACTGAGAGGAAGGCCGCGTTAATGCAAATCACTAGTGTGGATCGGGTGTACGAAGATGGCTGCCAGGATTTCACGTAAAAGCATGAGATCCAAGATAGCCGATGCAAGTGTGTGTGGGTCTGCAGGAGACATTGTCGGGGAAGGCTGTACAAACCTCCCGAGAACCTGAGCCACATCTAAAATATTTTTGGAAAATTGCACACTTGCTAAGGCAAAGAAAGGTGGTAACAAAGATATTTACAAGGTAAAAAAGCCCAAAGAAGAAAAACCAAACAAATAAGTAAACAAGGAAATAAATAAAATGATAAATAAAAGGAAACATAAGTGCAGACAGAATAAATTCAAACAATCCAGTATTGAAAGAGCTAGAACAACGATACAGTAATAAATATGAATAAAGCCACAGCAACCCACTAAAACCAGGAGGCCATAGTAACTGTGCTGTTGAGGAGCAGCAAAGAAAATGGGTGCTAGAGGAGTATGGGAGTTTTATTTATTCTGATGTTTTGTGATTGGTTGTTTCTCTTAGTTAACTTCTGTTGCTGTGAAGTTCTAGTAAAAAGAGATTTAAGCAAAATATGATGCCTCCTGTCATGTAATAAAAGTTATTTCATTTGGATACACAATATAAATTCCATAATGGTTTCCTTCTCATAATATTCAGCACAAGATTGTGTATGTATAAAAGAAATGGAATGTATGGTCAGATTGTAGCACAGAAAGCAATAGACTAACAGACTGTTCTATACTAGCAGATATGGAAATACAAATAATAGCTCCTTGATGTGCTTAGAAATCTTAGCTTAGTTTACAAATAAATAGATAAAACTATCTTCCTAATTTGTTTGTAGCTTACGTTTGTGTTAGATACTTACAACAGTTATATTTCTTTCAGGAATTCATCATTCTGTGTAGAAGTAGCAATGAATTTTAATGTCTTCACGTTGACGGAAGTTTCATTGACTGACATTGCATATGGACAATATGCCATTGAACAATCCAGTTACCAAATGCATTGCCCTGATTTAGGTGATTTCACAAATATCCATACAGGTGTGCGTCTACAATGGCTAAAGGTATGTAAGCTGAACAGTGTTTTATTTTAGTGAATAACCACTTCAGCACTCCTTTATAGTAGTGCCCATTGTGAAATAGGTGAATAGTCCTGGAACTTGGCAATATTAACTAAATATAGTTAATTTGGTGTAAAACAAGTAGAGCTTTTATTGGGTTGCTTGTTTTAAAACCAAGTTAATGTTATTCACTCAAGTATGAATTGCTAGAGGTTCAAGAGAATTCAAGGCAAATTTAAAATTTGATGCCACAATAGCTGAAATAGAAAAATCAGCTATGCTTCAGTGTGAATACTTTGGCTGTAAGTTTGCAATTGAATTCCCAATATTTCACACTAAATGCAACATTGTAGTGTTAGGAATGTATATATATATATATATATATATATATATATATATATATATATATATATATATATATATATATATATATATATATATAAAACACTCACTAGTTGTAGTAGGAGATTTGGTACATGTGATGATTTTACTACTGTATTTATTGCCCACAATCTGTTCTATCCTCTACTTTGCACTTTATTGCCATATCCTGTATAGCCTGTCTCCTCTCCCTACCCAGTGTCTCCCAAGACGGTATTATACCATTGTACCTCCAAGGTTTTCACTAATTTTACATATATTTTTACTAACGTTATAGTCCTGATGATGTCCATGGATAGTTTAGTCTCCCCATGTACACCAGAAAAAAAGTAAAAAACATATTAATCTTTTCTCCAGCGCTGAGTCTCCTTTCGTGTGGCTCTACCCTGGAGGAGTGGCTCCAGTATGACAGGCCAATTCAATGCTGCTCATAGACAAGCATTGGGGAACGTAGGCACATGAAGGGAGATTTCTGCAATGCGTCTACAATTCCTCCATAGAGAATCATGGAATTCAGTGATCCTCCATGACCAACTGAAATGGCATTGCGCATGTGACACCACGGTGTGTTACCGTATGAGAGCCAGGAACTAACTCTCATATGCAGAGGACTAAGCTTGTGCGGTTTAGTAGGGTAGGGCAGGGAGGGTGGACTACAGGTAATATAAAAACGGCAATCTGATAAAGTTGTTAAGGTGCCTACAGTGTTCCTTTAAGTGAATAACTTTCTCTTACCTGATTTGTCTGTTTATCTATATATTGATGTATGTATGACTAAACTGCAGTCTAAAATAAAGGCTAGGAAAAAATTATAGGTTGCTAATAGAGATGTTTTTGTTTTTGTAAGGATGGAAACCTTTTGCCAAAAGACACCATGAAGTATGAAATGTTGGATGGTAACACGTACATCGCCATTAAAGATGTGCACAAGGATGATGAAGGATACTATACATGTGAATTTGCATTTACCCATGAAAATAGAGAATATACGGTTTCCAGAATAATTTCTCTTCAAGTTATTGGTAATTACTAGCAAAAAAAAATAAAAAAAATAGGTAGATTAAACAAATCATTCTTAAAGTGTGTGTTTTATCCAATAACAACAAATGAGACAAATCCTTGGAAAAATATTTGATTTAGTTAATATGTACATGTCAATCAGCTGTTGTAATACTGTAGTCTCATTAGTTAGATAAAATAGTTGATGAAAACAATATTTTATTGTTTTGCAAAAAAAAAAAAAGTTATGCTCCTAGAAAGCAACAATGTTTTTTCAAACTTGTTTTAACACCTAAGGAACCCCATTCATAACATGCTAATGGTGAAAATCTGGTCCCTAAAAAGTAGACCCTGTGCCAGCATAGAATGCCCTGATTATTTTGCATATTCAGCTCTATACAGCCCTGCAGCTGTTAAATCAGAGAGACACTCCATTGTAATATAGGACCTTTAATAAAGTCTGGCATCATGTGACAAAATGATTCTACAGCTTGTCCTATTGTTTTCATATCTGTTGTGCTTGTTATAATACATACACCAAAATAAAGAATTTCTTCTACAGAATATGTAACTGATTTGTGTGTTTTTTTAATATATAGCTCAGGACAAGAGGGAGCAGCCAGTAATTTTACAGCCGAAACATAAGTCAATAGCAGCCTCTACTGGTAAGGTTTATTACATTTTTGTTTAGCTAATAACATTGTATAATAAAGGTAAGTAAAATAACGTGCTCAGGATCACAGTGACACAGGTTCTATAGGAGCTGAAGCTTCAAACCCACACATTGCAACAGACCAAAGATACCTGACTTTTATATCTGTTCATCAATTTTTTTTTGAACAGATGTACTCTGAAGTACTCGTGGCATGAAACTAGGTGTCAAGGCAAGGCACAGATATCCTCTCTGACTTGGCTGAGCAACATCTGAAAACACTTAGCTTTGGCACTGTATATACAAATCTATATCTGATATATGAAGGCCTATCTTATAATAATAGTAATAATAATTTGCTATTTTTATAGCGCTTTTCTCCCAGTGAGACTCAAAGCACTTTACAAATATACAAACTTAAAGACATAAAAGTTAGGAGTTTTTGAGGGTCAGATGAGTGGACTGAATGCCTGATGGAAGAGGTGGGTCTTTAGCTTTTTTTAAAAGTGAGCCTCTCTGATTGCGCACTGGAAAGAGTTCCAGAAGGTAGATGCAGCGTGGCTGAATGCCCTGGAACTTGAGTCTGTCTTTATTCTTGGCACTGACAGGAAAGACTACTGGCTGACCGAAGTGAATGGGTTGGAATGTAGGCTGTCAGGAGCTCTTTCATGTACTGTGGGCCTTGATTGTTTAAGGCTTTGAAGGTCAGAAGGCCTATTTTAAAATATGTTCACCATTAGAAGCCAATGCAGGGGGTGGAGAACAGGTGTTATGTGGCAGGAGCGCGTTTGATTAGTCAGTAGTCTGGCTGCTGCATTTTGTACAGTCTAAAGGGGATGGAGTTATTGGGAGGGCCAAGTAAAGTACATTGCAGTAATCTAGCCGAGAGCATACAAATGCATGGATTAATTTGGCATTTCATCCAGTGGAATTAAGTGTTGTATCCTGGTTATGTTTTTCAGATGAAAGTAGGCAGATTTTATTACAGAGGAAATCTGCTGTTTAAATGACAGTCCAGAGTCAATCAGCACTCCAGAGTCTCCTAGCTTCAGGCCAGTTGGGTGATCATGGGATATTTTTGTTGCCTGGGGTTCCCTCACCAAGAGTAACTCTGTTTTGTCCAGGTTCACTTTAAGCCTACTAGCATTCATCCATTCTTTGAGGTCTGCTAAGCAACTGTTGATGCGGCATGTTGGCTCTGTAGTATCTGGACCAAAGAAGAAGTAGAGTTCTGTGGCATCAGCGTAACAATGATACCTTGGGCCATGTCGCCTAATGATGTTCCCCAAAGATAGCGAATAGCATGGGAGACAAGATGGATCCTTATGGAACTCTGCTGGCCAACTCTGTTGGTGCTGATGAGCTTGATCCTGATGTTAAACTCTGTGATCTACCAGTGTGGAAAGATTTAAACCAGTTAAGGACTGGGCCTCCTAGACCACTGATGTGCTGCAAGCACTCTATTAAAATCCTATGGTCAGTGGTGTCAAATGCAGCTGAGAGATCCAAGAGGATTAGGATGGAGTAATCACCTTTGTCTCTCGCCAAAAGGAGATCATTTAGCACTCAGACTAGCACTGTTTCCGTGCTGTGGTGGCATCTGAGACCTGACTGGAAAGGATCAAAGATGTCCAAGCTTGCTAGATGGGCCTCCAGTAGAGTTGCCACTACTTTTTCAATTATTTTCCCCAGAAATGAAAGGTTGGATACTAGTCTGTAATTAGCTATGCAGTCTGGGTCTAGCGTTTCTTTAGAAGGGGTTTTACCACAGCTTCTTTTAGAGGATCTGGGAAGTCTCCAGTTTTTAATGAACACTGCACTATTTTTCTGAGGTCTGGGGCGAGTGTTTCCATGCATGTGGATATAAGCTGAGTTGGAGCAGGGACTAAGGCACATGTAGTAGGGTGTAACTTTTGCATGGTTCTTTTAACTCCCTGTATATCCACATTTGTAAAAGTGGACCATAAACTGGGGCAATCTGGCATTCGATTGTAGGGGTTCTGGTGTGTAACTGGTTGACCTGCTGTGATAGAGGCTCAGATGGAGGAAATCTTGTCTGTGAAGAAGATCGCAAATTCTTCACACTTATCCTGAGAAAAGTTGGTGGGGATATGCATGCATGCTGGTTTGCAGAGCCTTTCTACTGTTGCCTGGGTCTATTGTGGGAGAGTGCAATTTCACGTGACAAAAATTACGATTTTTTTCTTCAAGAGTTATCTTCAATTCATATTCATTAAGATGTTTGGCGCCTTTATCCTCTGGTTCATGTGTCCTGCTCCACCTTCTCTCGAGCTTACTCCCTGTTCTCTTCATTTCTCTGATGGTGCTATCAAACCACGGTGCCGCTTAACTACATAATTATTTCTTCTGGCAGGCTACAATAGCAGATTGTACCATTTGTTTATGTGTGTTTAAATGTTTAAAACTGAATGATTTGCTCGTCAAAGATTTTATTTTTTTATATAACTCAAAAATTTAGGTATTCTTCCATACTGTATTGTGGCGTATAGATGCTGTTATTTGATGCTGATTCGGATTGTCTTTTGACCTTGTAAGATTGCAATGTATCTCAATAAAAAAAATACTTATCCAATAGATGTCTGCTTTACACAGGCTTACAGGATAAGATCAGATCCTTTAGTCGATAATAAGATGCTATTGATTGGTGGAGCCTGTTTATGGTCTTCCTGAAGCAGCAGGCTCTCAGTCTTAGCTGTGCAACGTCAGTATCCTTCCTTCCTTTTTCTTTCTCTCGTTCTCAATATAAAGAATATTAAGTATGTTTTTCTTTAATAATAACAAAGTATTTCAATTAAACATTGCACATCTATATATCTAACAATATAAATATTCTGTATGTTTCCATAAAGGTTCCAAGCTGACCATTCCTTGTAAGGTGTTTACTGAATCTGGTGGCAGCAACCTAATTGTATGGTGGCTGGCAAACGACTCTTACATTGACGAATTCTTTGAAGATGGACGTGTGAGACAGGGGATATCCCAGTAAGTAAGATGGATGGATGGATGGATCTATCACTGAAAAGCTAATGGTAGTTAAAGGAACACTCCAAGCACCATAGAAATTGCAGCACACTGTCGTGGTTATGGTGCCAGGAGTTCTCTGGCATCCCCCCCCGATTTAAGTAGTCAAACTGTTTGCTAACCTTCTTACCTGGGGTGTGCTGGGTGACACTCTCTGCCTCTGCCCTTCTGGTATTGAGTGCCACAAGCTCCTCCTAGGGGCCTCCATTGCTCTCTAGTTTATATTAAGTCCTGTGCAGGGCCAGCTCATCGACTAATCACTCTCAGCCAATGGACTGAGCTTTGCAAAGCAGCAATAATAGTAGTAATACACATCAGCCCCAATACATACAATAAAAATAAATATAAAATGTACTTGTGCACTATCCCAGGCTGCTAAAAAAGTTAAAAAAAAAATATATATATATATATATATATATATATATATATATATATATATATATATAAAACAATTAAAGCATTTATAATATATTATACATATATAATGCATATATATGATTTTATTATAAGTGTTCTTTGATGTATATACACATATATCTCAAAATACACTTATAATGAAATCATATATATGCATTATATATGTAAAATATATTATAAAATGCTTTAAAGGGACTCTCCAGTGCCAGGAAAATAATCCGTTTTCCTGGCACTGCAGGTCCCCTCTCCCTCCCACCTCCCATCCATGGTTGCTGAAGGGGTAAAAACCCCTTCAGTGACTTACCAGAGGCAGCGACGATGTCCCTCGTCGTTGCTTCTTCCTCCTCTCATGCTCCTCCCCTTCATCACATCAGCCGGCGGGGGAGACTGATCACACCCGCCGGCGGGGGGAGACCGCACGCGCATTAGACCTCCGCATAGGAAAGCATTAAAAATGCTTTTCAATGCTTTCCTATAGGGATTTTAGCGACGATGGAAGTCCTCACACAGCGTGAGGAAGTCCAGCGACCCTATAGCACAGATCTGTGCTATAATCCTGGAAGTGCCCTCTAGTGGCTGTAGACAGCCACTAGAGAAGGAGTTAACCCTGCAAGGTAATTATTGCAGTTTATAAAAACTGCAATAATTACACCTGCAGGGTTAAGGGTAGTGGGAGTTTGCACCCAGACCACCTCAATGAGCTGAAGTGGTCTGGGTGCCTACAGTGTCCCTTTAATTATAATACACTATACATATATAGGAAATAAAAGTGTGTGTGTGTATAAATATATATAAAAAAACAACAACACATTTTATATATATATATATGTAGATATATATATATATATACACACACACACACACACTCTCTCTACAAATATATTTAACTATTAACTACATGATTATTTGATTTTATTAATTATAATTAACAGACAGTCCTGAGAATTTAATTGGCAAGCCCTATATTTAACCCCGTAACTTTCCAAAACACCATCAAATCTTTACATAGGGGTTATTGTTATATTTGGGAGACTTCACTGAACACAAATATTGGTGTTTTAAAAAGTAAAACTTATCACAACGATGATATCACCAGGAAAAGTGCAGCTTTTGTTTACAAAATGCAAAAAAAACTAATAAAAACGCTAACTTTGGCTACTACAAAAGACTGGAAACACCCCATTTTGAATACCCTGGGTTGTCTACATTTGCAAATAGTATGCCATGATGGGATTATTTCACCTGGGCTACCATATGATCTCAAAAGGCAACATAGACCCAGCAAATCAATATGGCAAACTGAATTGAGCAAGCCCTATATTGACCCTGTAACTTTCAAAAACACCATAAAACCTGTACATGGAGTGTATTGTTATACTCAGGAGACTTTGCTGAATACAAATATGAGTGTTTAAAACAATAAAACTTATCACGACGATGAAATCACCAGTAAAAGTGCATTTCATGTGTAAAAAAATGGAAAAAACAAATATGAATGCCAACTTTGGCAAGTGTTTGTGGCTAAGTGGCTACTACAAAAGACTGGACATACCCCATTTAGAATACAGGATTGTCTACCTTTAAAAATGATATGCCATGATGGGGTTAATTTTCATTCCTGGGCTGCTATATGGTCTCAAAGGCAACATAGACCCAGTCAAATTTCAATGTGCAAACATGGAAAAGTCCTACATTTGACCCCGTTTTTTTTTTTTTTTTTGTTTTTTTTAAACCCATAAAACCTGTACATTGGGGGTACTGTTGTACTCATGAGATATTGCTGAACACATATTGCGGTTTTCTTTGTCAGTAACCCATAACAGGAACTGAGAATCCATGCCTAAAGTACAATGTGAGTGAAATATAACAGAAAAAAAATGACTACCCAAACGTTTGACAAATACTGGTGGTATAATTAGCATGGAAAGTGTTAAAATACCACCATTTGAAATACCCCAGGGTGTCTACTTTTCAAAAATATAGGGTTTGATGGGATAAATTACATTGTCCGGCTTTCAAAAATGCCCCAAATAGGACATGGGTGCATGATGACCAGCTTAGAAAATTCCAAGTTGGAAAACTGGAATGTGCACCCTCTAAATAAGGTCTTTTAGCCGCCAGAGAACCTCATCTGCCATGTCAAGGCAAAACCTCATAGGTGAGTCCTGCACTAACAATTCACCTTACTGCTTTCAGCTAAAAAGTGAAATTTTTAATGAGACAGAGTGTACTTGGATAGCCATTGGAATGAATCTAGAAAAACTCCAGTTATTTAAATGTGCATAGGGATTTGGGATAGCTCGCTTTTGTATTTATTGTATGTATAGTGAAAAAGTAACCTTTTTTCTTTGGCAATTAGCAAATGGTGTGACTACTTACACTGGGGGGCTCCAGGGCACTGGTAGCACCATAACCGCTACAGCACTCTGTAGTGGCTATGGTGCTAAGGGTGCTTCTTTTAGTGTCTTAAACAGATGTGCAACCCATTCCTTGTCCCTCTTTTTGCATTTAAAACAGAAGTAAAACACCTTAAAGGAACAAACAAAACTGTATCTCTAACACTACATTTTCCCTCTGCACCCGCTCCAGTGCCCCAACCCAGCCATGAAATGGTTAAAAATTCTTTCAACATTTACCTGACTCCAGCGCCTCGTTCTCCTCCTCCTCTTCAGATGTCAGCACGATTCAGGAACCAATGCTGAGTTAAACTCCATGAAACTGCAGGAAGTGCCTCTAGTGGTTGTCAGGCAGACGTTGTAAACATTGCAGTTTCTCTAAACATTGCAGAGTTAAGGGGACAGGAACACTGCACCCAAACCACTTTCATGAGATTAAGTGGTCAGGTTTCTATGGTGTCCCTTTAATATACCTCTCATATTTCTTTATTGTAGACAGGCAGACAAAAACAAAAAAAAAAAGAGGTGGTGCACTCACAGGAAAATCAATTAGTTTAACAAAAACAGTGTTACAATGACAGACAGACAGACTTGCATAGCTTTGTTTGTACAGTATTTTTGTAATGAAAATGTTCTTTCTGCTTTCAGGGAAACTGAGGAGAGGGATGGATTTTACATTGAAGTCCCATTAGTTTTTGAAGAAGTTAAAGATGCAGATTTCAGCACTGATTTTAAGTGTATAGGCAGCAACGATTATGGTACACAAGTCCTCCCCACTCAGATACGTCAAGCAGGTAAAAAAAGAAGAATGATTTTATTTATATGGTTTGTGTTTACAGTAAATTGTTAAAATGTTTAGTTTTTTTTCTCCTTTTTTTAAAGCCGTTACCACTTATTTCATTTAATTATCTGCAAATTAAGACTTTAACAGTGGCGAAAAAACATTTGGACAGTAGAGGGTTTCACATTTTTTGATGTATTAGATCTTACCATAATAGTGTTATATCATGCATTTACTAATAATATATATTTATCAATACTATTTATTATTGACTTAAAAGTTGAGCAGCCAGCTGTGGTTTGATTGTCGAAGATCAAATTAATCTGTTTCAACCAAATTTAACTTCCTTATATATTCAGTAAAGGCTAATTTGGTTGTTTCAAACCAAGTTTGCATCCCATTCAGGTGCTTTTTATTTACCTACTAAAATTAAGTATCTTAGTTAAAGGGACACTCCAGGCACCTAGACCACTTCTGCCCATTGGGTGCCAACTCCCACTACCCTTAACCCTGCAAGTGTAATTATTGCAGTTTTTTTATAAGATGCAATAATTACCTTGCAGGTTTAACTCCACCTCTAGTGGATGTCTAAAAGTGCACTAGAGGGCACTTTCTGCTCTATAGCACAGAAAACCTGTGCTAAAGCGTCGCTGGACGTCCTCACGCTGTGTGAGGACCTCTAGCGTTGCTCAATTCCCCATAGGAAAGCATTGAAAAGTATTTTCAATGCTTTCCTATGGAGAGCTCTAATGCGCATGCTCATTAGGTCTCCCTGGCCGGTGGGCGGGATCAGTCTCACCTACCGTCCGACGTAAAGACTGGGAGGAGCGGCGGCGAGAAGAAACCACCGCCGAGGGACATCGTTGGGGTCTCAGGTAAGTGACCTGAAGGGGCTTTCACCCCTTCAGCAACCGGGATTGGGAGGTGGGAGGGAGAGGGGACCGGCAGTGCCAGGAAAACGGATTGTTTTCCTGGCACTGGAGTTTCCCTTTAAGGCAGTCATATCGCATCTGAGTTGAGGAATCCTATCTTTTGTTTGAATGTCAGAGCAATTTTATTAGCTGCATTTTGAAGCAAGGTCAGCTGCAGGAAGTAATGTGATTGATGCTTATGAAGCAACAACCCTGCTTATCTTGTGCACATGAATTAGTAGATTGTGTGCACTAATTAACTATATTGCACACACAAAATAATTAAAGCGTTTGCACAAGTTAACTATATTGTGGGTACCAGCTATTAATGGTGAGCATGAGATACTACAGCATTCACACAATAAAAAAAAAATATTTTTTTTCTTTCACCTCTGTACATTTGTAATTAAGTTGCAGGCGAATTGGTCAGGAATCTGACTAGGAGTGGATGACACTGTTTATATTGGTGGAATATTCATTAGAGGAACCTATAGTATAGCCCTAATATTTATACAGTGGAGATAAGTTCCTTTAGATCACACAGATTTCTAGTGTTCTCAGAGCTCTTTTATCATCTAAGTTCTAATCATATTGTTTAATGTTAATTGCTCTTGTTTGTTACTCAGATGGTTAAACATGTTTGTTATTCTCTGTATTTCTACAGCCTCCCACTTTTCCTGGTACATTGTGGCGGTTCCAGCAGCTTTGATATGCGTGATTATAGCAATAATTTCCATATACAAATACAGGAAATTGGGCGATAAGGAACAGTATACTCTGGCCAAGTCATAAATGGTAAATACATTTTTATTTTTTTAAACCCGCATAACAACTTTGTAGTTAACGATTTGCTTCCCAGTATGCTCCCTGCACCCAATATAAAAACTGGTGTATCTGCTGATCATTTTGAAAATGCAGTGATGTTAGATAAGTTTAGAACTTATAATGCATTATGATACCTTCCAAGTGTCCCTATTTGGGAGGGACAGTACCTATTTTGTGCCCAAACTCATCTTTACCTCTTTTCTGTCCTCTTTTGTAGGAGCTATTTATTGCTGAGTGTATAATAGAGTTCCACACAACAATACTCACAGTAATGTGTCTAAATGTGTTTAAACTGCAATAGATGTGTTTATAAATCAGTACATTGTTCAATCAAATGTTCTTGTTCTAAATTACATTTACGTTGCAAACATTGTTATTAGTAAGTCACCACAAATTTCTCAGAATAGCCACTCACCTGGCCACTCCCCCAAAATATAAAGTCTCCATCTTTGTCTATATGAAAGGTTCGTAGGTATTATTATTTTATTTTAGCAAGGTGATGCGCAACCCGACCCATGACAGTAAAATAGATAAATAGGTAATGATACAAATCTACATGGTTTAATTGATGAATGGGGGACTGTGAAATAATGGGGTAACTACACATTATTTATGAGGGAGTTCTTCTTGTTATTATTGCCATTTATATAGCACCAACAGATTCCGTAGCACTTTACAATATTTTGAGAGCGGGGATTTAACTATAAATAGGACAATTACAAGAAAACTTACAGGAATGATGGTTTGAAGAGGACCCTGCTCAAACAAGCTTACAGTATATAGGAGGTGGGGTATAAAACACATTAGCATAGGAAAGAGCAATCAAATAAGGTGGGAGTGAAGCAGAGCTAAAGTGGATCCTTTCCCTGGAGTTCAGTGGGGATTTTTTCCAGGGAGTCTAGTGCTGTCATCTTTATGGTCATTTTGCTTCCCTGCCAATTTCTGATGCTGATAACGGAGTGACATCATAACCTGGTTCCTGGCATCACTGCATGGCGCTGCAGAGCACAGAGATTACAGCTCCCTCCCACCTGCCCTCTTTCTCCACTCCGGACACAGCACATTTGGGCAAAGTAGGCATCTGCCATCCGGGTAAATAGATGCCTACTCTGCCTTAACGTTCAGCCAGCCACCAACTGGGGTGGGGGCTCTAAGGTGGCCAGCCAGCTTTAGGTGTACCCCCTGCTTGTGGTGTGGGTACATGTACCGCAGGTTGAGAACTGGTGCACTAGAACATTGGCTAGCACTATGTAGAAATTAAATTTTATTATATGCACAACAGGTTCACTTTAACTACTTGTTGAAGGATTTGCATGATTAATATTCTCCATTTAAAGATTCATTTCCTTTAGATTACAGCATTTAAGTGGGAAGCACCAAAGAATGAATCATGTAGCTTTATGTTCCACCCTGAACTTTACAGAACTTGGCTCTTGTAAGGTAAAATGAACTTAAAGGGTTACTTCTAGCATCATAACCACTACACCCCAGCTTCCATAGAGTAAAACAATGTTCTCTTAATTACACCTAATAAGCCTTCCTAGCTATATTAGCAGGACATGGCAGCTAGCTGTTTAATGTAACCTGCCGCATGTTAAAGGAAACAAATGCTGAGATAGGAGATCTCTCGACACCGCTTCCTGTTTACTAGCCTGGTGTACAACTCTCCTGACCCCATGATGCTAGACACCTAGGAAAAGAGACTCTAAAGTCACTACCTTTCCTAAGCACCACCAAGTGGAGGAGAGTGTCATAATTGAAGTATGTGTGATTGTGTATATTTGAGTCTTGTATACAGAGCCGGCCTTAGGGGTGTGCGAGCTGTGCGGCTGCACAGCTTACACATGACCGGGTGACAGGAGTGCAGAAGAACTAAAACAGGTACCTGGGTGGAGGATTTCATTATTCTCCACCCAGGTCTATGAAAAAAAAAATACATAGGCAGCGGGGGTGTGGCTTACTGAGCGGCGGGGGCAGAGCTTATCGCAAGGCGGAGGCGGGGCCAATACCTACCAGAATCCCCTGGTAACTGCTGCACGGGAAGGAGGAAGGAATCCGTGCTTTTCCAACAACCAATTGATTCCACTCTCCCTTCCAGCCATAATGGAAAGAGGTGTGTGTGTGTGTGATTGTCTGTCTGTGTGACTGCCTGCCTGTGTGTGTTACTGTCAGTCTGTGTGACTGCCTGCCTGTATGTGTGTGTGTGACTGTCTGTCTGTGTGTGTGTGTGTGTGTGTGTGCGTGTGACTGCCTGCCTGTGTGTGTATGACAGTCTGCCTGTGTGTGACAGTAACTGTGTGTGACTCCAATTGTGTGTGTCGCTGTAGCTGTGCCTTTGTGTGTGCCTGGGCCTGTATGTGTGACTATCTGCCTTTAACTGAGTGTGTGTGTGCCCATCAGTGTGCGTGAGTGTCTGCATGTCTGTAACTGAGTGTGTATGACTGCCTGCTTGTAATGAAGTATTTGTGACTGTCTACTTGTGACTGTTTGTGTGACTGTTTGCCTATAACTGCGTGTGTGACTGTAACTGTGTGTGACTGTCTGCCTTTAACTGTGTGTTTGCCACTGTGATTGTCTGCCTTTAACTGAGCATGTGTGACTGTCTGCCTGAGAGAAAAAGAGAGAGAGAGTGTGTGTGTGTGTGTGTGTGTGTGTCTGACTGTCTGCTTGTAACTGTTTGTGTGACTGTCTGCCTGTGCCTGTGTGTGTGACTGTATACAGGCAACTTGGTGGGGTGGGGTGTTGCCATGAAGACTTTTCGCACAGGGTGCCTAATGGCCTAAGGCCGGCCCTGCTTGTATAGGTATATCTAATGTAAGATATTAGGTGGTATGGGAGGGGCTCATAAGTGTGTGTTTGGGGTGTGGCTCTTGGAGCTGGGGTGGAAGGGGAGCATTGTATTCTTGAATGCAATTAACAAAATCTTGGGTCAGTACTAGTTACAGCACACTCATAGCGTACATTCATTTGACAGTATTTGGCTCACAAATTTAGTCTGTGCTATGGAAAACACATCAATGAGTGAAGGAGACCTGAGCAGTGAGAAATATATGATGTATGCAATTATTCCAGCACCATTTTGCTTTATTTAGGGGTGAGGGGAACACCGTGTATATAATGACCACCACAACTACAGCTGGTACCGGGGGTCTTAAGCAGCACCAATAAAATGCATGTGCAGGAGGGGGCTGGAGGGGGGGGGGGGTTAACTTTAGCACCAGGAGATTTCTTTTAATAACACTAATAGATGCTTTACTAAGGCAAACATTAAACGGATGCTTTCCTTTAGCATTCAGAATATAAAAATCATTTCTATGGACGTAAATTAACGGGTTCCCATTAATGATAATCATCTAACTTACTATGGCATGAGAACTAAAAATAAACATATGGACAAAGTAGGACACCATAAAACGTGTTTTTTACATCTTACAACTAGATCGCATGGCTTAGCATCCCACGGCAGTAGTTCCTACCAACTCTATTCCACATGTACTAAATCCCTCTTATATGGTTCCACATATAGAAATATAAAAATGAAAAATAAATAAATGTAAACTGACTTAAACAGTGTTACTCACTGAACAGGCAATAGTGGAGAAATTACAAGGTAGCTGCAAATTTCAGACCAAAACTTCTGAATGGGAAAATTCTCTCAGCTACTCTTTGAATTGCTGTACTTATATTTTTCTTAAACACGCAAACGCCTTGCCAGTCCTCCACATTTCCTTGTTTAGTGAGAACCCCTGAACTGAAAACCAAATTATATAATTTCTACTAAAATTGCTTTTTCAATTCAGCTCTTTTCTTTAAACTTGTTTTAGCCTAGCTTTTGCAATCATATTTTCAATTTACCACATTTCACAAAAGGGTGAATAAACCCTTTTAAATGGTCCGTGCTTTTACCTTCATGAACACGGAATTGAAATCAATTGAAAACTAAAATTGCAAAATGTGGGCAACCATAACTGATGTCACGTAGCATGCAGGGTGAGGTAATTAATCTATTACCCCTTGAAACCTATTGTTATACTATATAAGATAACTGCACTAAATAAGAATAACAAAAGCATACTTTTCCAGGTGACACCATTTTAATTTATAAACAACAGTTATTTCTTTGTAAAATATACTTTCACTGGGAAAATATTTGTAAGTATGTGAAATAAACACCAAATAAAATGGTTTGGCAAATACCCAAGCAACTTTCCATTATTGCAACATCAGATAAATTATGACATGTTTTATTGATACAAAGGAAATGATTTTGCACGTTTTAGAGAAGTGTTCTGTCGTTTGTTTGAGATATTTTTACTAATATTTGCTCAGCCAACGTAACATGATGTATTACATCTAGATAAGAAACATCTGGATTCTTTCCGTTCCCACACTTCCATGTATTCTAATCCCTTGAGGTGGCTATTTATATGGCAAAATAAATTCTTTACAAAGGGACATATTCAGTAAACAGTATATTTGGGGTAAATTGACAACTGCATTGCAAATGTACAATAAAAGCTGAGTTGGAACTAAAAATCTCTACACCTTAAATTGAAAATATTCCTCAAATTAGCTCATTGTTTATCAAATAGACCCCATAGATTGACAAAAAATAATTACATATATGACCAACTAAACAATCTAAAACAAAGCAAAAATAAGAAAATCCACGCTATATAATCGTAGAATAATGGAAAATAATTATACAATATAGAAATGACTATATCTAAATACTTATATAATATAAACAATTTAAGACTGACATTTTAGGTGAAGGGTTTGGTCTCTAGGTAGGCCAAATGAGCAGATATATTAATTTGATTATTTGTGTACATTTATCCATTTAAATCTATTGGAATATTGGTATTAAGTTATCAGTAACAAATATATATCTAGTCTCAGAATTCAGCCCTTTTGACCTTTAATCTTCAATGGGTTTTATAGTATTGAAATGGTAAATATGTGAAATAAACTATATCATATGATAAATAGAGGTAAGAACACTAATGTGTAATGTATATTGATACAATCCATTTGTTTTATTATCTTGTGAGCATTTTGAGGTCTCATGTAATAATATAGATTACTATGATGAATTGTCAGCATATCCTGGTATATAGTGATAACTGCATTAGAAGGGTGTAAAGGAGTCCTGTTTTAAAACGTAAAAAGAGGCATAGGGAATGGGTTACACATCTGTTTGACACCTAACTCCACATACCAGTAGTGTTTCAGTGTCTATCTATAATACCTTTGCAAAAAGTATTCAGATCCTTGCCCAATTTACACATCAAACTGGAAAACAGTTTATATATTGACCTTTATATATTAAGTATTTAACTAATATATAGAGAGAGGTTTAATACAGCTCCTCCTCTTTTACCTCAATTTGTTACATTTACTTGATCTGTGAACGTAACGGAAGGAAAAACATAGTGTACTGAAAAATATATACATTTTCATATTGTGTACATATTTTGGCCCATTTTCAAAAATAAGCCCTCAGTCACTTTAGAGAAGCTATGGAGGACAGTGGTTGAGACTGGAGAAAATGTCCATCAGTCAGCAATTCAAGATCATCAAACATCTGTATGGAAAGATGACAAGGAAGAAATTACTCAAGACCAGCCACATAAAAGCACACCTGGAGTCGAAATAGAAAAAACATCTATTGTGGTCACATGAGACGAAGATAGAGCTTTTTGGCCAGAAACACAATCCAAAGCAACAAACATTTGAACATTCCACAGTGTCCCAGTCAAAGTCCTGATCTCAGTCAAACCGAGAATCTGTCAAATACCCGCAGCTCTTGTGTAAAGCAGATGGGTGCTAACTCCAAAAGGGCTTCAACATGTTATTAAAGCAAACGATGTCTGGCTTTTCTTTGAAATATTTAAAACCTATACATAATTTTGACTTTAAAATTGTTGTTTAGAGCAGATGGGTTTATAATAGAAACAATCTTTTGAGCATTTGTAAGTATGCATCATATGTAATCCAAAAAAAAAAAAATCATTCAAAAATACTGAATACTTTTTATGCAAACATCCACAAAGTAAATCTTAGGGATTCATTCCAGCTTTAATCCTTCCAGCTTTAAGAAGGATTATCCAGATTCTTTCCCCCAAAAATGTATGTATGTATTGTGCTAGTTATAGTTACTGTCTCCTACAAGTATAAACAAGCTGGTACTTTGCATATAACATACTGTATATGCTGCTGATGGGTTGTCATTGGTACAATGCAATATAACTTAACTAACCTTCTGCTTTATGTGTTTTTTTTAGGTAGCATGCCATGGTCTTCATTTCAAAAACCGAATAGAAATATATTTGTCTGAAATATGAACATCGTTTTATATTGTATAAAGAGAGTGTTTTAGCTGTTTACACAATACACAAATACATTTTATTTTTTAAATGCATGTATATGTGTTATGCTTCCGATAAATAGTGTGTAGATATTAAGAGCTGTAACAAGAAACCATGCCAAAGTCTTAAAATTGTATATGTGTTTATTTACTAGACTGGGAATTGTGAAACCCTGGCAAGTGAAGTTACAATTTTAAGCTAAAATAGCTGATTTAAAAAACAAAAAAATCTTTCTCTACTAATTTTGTATGCGTAGATATATAATGTATATTTATATATTATAGTGTATGTTGTATCGCCAAACACTGCACAGTTAATTGCGCAACTACCTTTTTGCACTACTACCGGCTATTTTATTGATTGGATTGGGTCGGAAACCACACTTATTTGTGCTGCATGTGCAGATTTTGTTTCACTTTGGAACATTATAACTGTAACATTTACCAAAGCACCTGAGAACCTTATGCTATATATTCTTTGCTATTCTATACATTTTCATCTAGGACAAAAATAGGTCCAGGCATTTCAGAACATAGCAGCCAACTTAAAATCGCTTTCATTTTACATACAACTCCTAAAATGATCTACTAATATTAAAACCATAAAACAAGCTCATGTTGTCAGTAACAGACACGTGTGCACAGGCATACACCACACTCACATTTACACAGAGAGGCACATAGTCGCAAAGACACTCTTATAGACACTCTCACAGTCACACCAAGGTAATCATTCTCAGATACAAATGTACAGAAACATAGTCACACAGAGGCATAAACACGCAAATACATACATCAGCCACAACATTAAAACCACTGACCGGTATAATGAATACAATTGATTATATCTTTACAATGGATTGTTGTCTATCACGTACACCTCTTAACAGTGCCGTACACACAACCCATGGGGCCCCGGTGCGAAAACTGATCCGTGGGCCCCCCACGCACTTACTCTGCGCAGGCTGGGGCCGCAACACATGGCGGCGGGCACCTGGCACTGCAGTATGTACGCCAGTGCATGCAGATACACATACACTTAAAGGACCACTACAGACACCCTAGATCACATCAGCTCAATGAAGTGGTCTGGGTGCCAGGTCCCTCTAGTTTTAACCCTGCAGCTGAAAACATAGCCGTTTCAGAGAAACGGCTATGTTTCACTGTGGGTTAATCCAGCCTCTGGTGCCTGTCTCATTGATTCTCACTGTGAAAATCACAGTGAGAAGATGCTGAACATCCATAGGAAAGCATTGAGTAATGCTTTCCTAAGGGCAGTTTGAGGGCGCGCGCTGCTCTTGCCGCGCATGCGCATTCGGAGCGGAGAGGCGGATCGGGGCGGAGGAATCCCCAGTGCCAAGGGAGGAGAAAGGTAAGTGCTGAAGACACACACACACACACACACTCTCACGAACAGACTCATACACACTAGCTAACAGACACACACATTTACTGACAGACACACACTCAGTGACAGACAGACATACACACTCACTTACAAAACACACACTCACTAACAGACACCAAACAGACTCACTAACAGACGCACACAAACTAACACACTCACTGACACACACACACTGACACAAAAACTAACACACACACTCTAACACTAACACACTCTAACACACACTTTAACACTAACACACACTCTAACACACACACACTAACACACACACGTTTTTTTTTAAAATTTAATCCCCCAGCCTCCCTACCTTTGGAAGTGCTGAGGGGATTCCCTGGGGTTCAGTGGTGTTGCTGGGCAGCCGGTCACTGTAAGCAACTTGCAGGACTTAAAGGATCTACTGCTAATGTCCTGTTGTCAGATACAGCGTCCAGAGGTCTTGTGGAGTCCATGCCTTGATGCATCAAAGCTGTTTTGACAGCAGGATGGGGACTGACAGTAACGATATTAGGCAGGTGGGTTTAATGTTGTGGCTGATCAGTGCACAAATATACACTCACATAAGAACACATACAGAAACGCATTTTTACGCACTTATGTTGGACACACACTCATAGCCTTACATACAGAAGTACACATTCAGATGTACATTAAAACACATGCACACTCAGTAATATATACTGACTATGTTGGTGAAAGCTGTGCTCTTATTAGACTTATTTTATTCCAGCAGAGACTCAATCACAAGACTTACAGTTGCACACTGGAGGTTATTCACTAATGTGAGAATTCAAAGTGAATTTTAAGTTTTAGGCCAAAGTAGCCGCACTGGAAGCATAGCTAAATGAGTACATAATTTTGTCTATTTTGGCCTTAAATTTTAAATTCTCCCTATAGTAAATAAACCTAATGGTCATTCAGCATTCACAGGTATTCCAGTCTCACAGGTCTTCACTTCCCTTTATGTCAGATGCATATACATGCTGACCCTCATTTTAAAGCAGAACTGTCACTTCTTAAGAAGAAATAGTTCCTCAATGCCTCATCTACGTAAGATGTATTGAAGTACCACTCAGGTAAGGTGTAGAAGTGATGAAAGTAAAAGTCACATTGAGGTCCATTGCACCTTTGTATCCAGGGTAACATCACTATTCTACGATGCTCCAAGCACATTAATTTGTGCTCAGTCATTTGCAGAAAAATAAGATACTAGTAAATATAAGCTTATTGACATATGGGTGTATACACAAGCATGTATTGGAAATGCATTTAGGCAACTCTTGACATTTCTCTCTGGTTAACCAATTCTCTCGCCACAAAGTGTAACTATTCTGCAATACGAAATGAAACATAGCCCAATTTCCCTTCCTCTTTGCTTCAGTGTTGTCGCGAGGCAAAGATACAAATTGTTCTGTCCGGTTTCAATTTTGTATTACTTAATTTCTGAAGATGTACTTTAAAATGAGCCCTAACCCTCCCTTCTTCCATAGTCTGCAACAGTGATGACAAACCTTTTTGAGCCTGTGCTCCCAAACTGCAATTAAACCTGATTTATTTTAGATTGCCTTCCTTCAATTCAGCTCTAACTGTCTCTTCTGGCTACTACCTGCTACCCTACATCCCTGAATGAGTAATGACCCCTGCAGACCAACACCTGCCTCGGCAGCAGAGTATTAGGGTATTAGGGATACTCACTGTGCAGGACCTGGGCAACTTGTAGACTAACAATTTTAGTCAAATTTTAGTTGACTAGAATTTTTTAAATTTAGTCAACTAAAACTAGATTAAAACTAAAACAATTCAGATGACTAAAATACGACTAAAAATAAAATGGCATTTTAGTCAAAAGACTATGACTAAAACTATCACTAGCTATCACTAGCTCCAGGCAATAACAGCAGTTATAGAAGTTACAGTAGGGTTTCCACGTCCCCATACAGGACCTACCAACACCTTCTCCCCATTACTAGCCCAAAGTTTGACAGGAAACTAAGAATGACAAGAGCCTTTCAGGGAGTCACTGCACTGAGGCAGGGGGTCTCGATGCAGTGACAGTATTTCAATTTATAAATACTCCGCTCCCCACAAAATATGTTTGCCAGGATCCCAAGCTTCAGGCTGCTTCACTAACTGCCTGTCACAAGCCTGAGAGGGAGTAGGGCAGCATAAAGGAATAGCTTAGTGTGCCTAAGGAGTGCTTATAAAAAGATGTGGAAAGCTCATGACTCATGTGCCAACTATAAGAGGCCTCTGTGTGAAAGCTGTGGAGCACGTGCCATAAGTTTGCCATTGATGGTTTACAACAGGACTGCCCAATAGGTAGATCCCCAGATGTTGCAGAACTACAACTCCCATGATGCTTTGCGTGCCTTTAGAATGACAAAGCATCATGGGAGTTATAGTTCTACGACATTTGGGGATCTACCTATTGGGCAGCCCTGGTCTACAACAACCTTTTTAGGTCTAACTTTACTGCTGCTTTCTAGGGAAAAAAAGAGAAGGGGAAGGAGTGCTCCAATCACAGTGGTTTATTTGCAAGGTAAAAAATAGGTTGAAAAATCCAGCATACTAAAGACATTTGCTTGAAACTATGCTCATAGGTACACATTATGTTTACATTCTAACAGCAACTTTTTTTTTTTCAAATATACATAAACATATATGTGGCCATTTTTTTCTATTACTTCTGTCACACCTACTGTAAATTAAAACATTGGTATTAACGCTTCTGTGCTAATTTGTCAAAATATTGCAAAATAACCCCCCTCCAATTTTTCTGAAAATAATTACTTACTTAATGGAATATATGCATGGCATATATAAATGACGGTTGTTGATCCAAAGAGAAATACAAAATGCAGTCAAAAAAGATTTTTTTCTCTTTTTTTTGTGGCATAATTGAAAGTGGTTACAATTGTTTTTTTGTTGTTTTGTTTTTTTTTTGCCTTCTTTTGGATCAACAACAAACAACAATGGGTTTTGAGGATGAACTTGATGGACTATAATCTTTTTTCAATCTAGATTACTATGTAACTATGTAATTGATGTATCAGTAAACAGCAACCTATACACAAACTTGCTGTTGTGTCCTATGTTTGTGTACTAGCTATGCAGCCCAGGTTTCAGTTTATAAAGTTATATGGTAATTTCTTTAATGAAACCAAAAATGTGCAGTGAAGGGGTTGATCAATATAAGCTGAAAACTCAACTCTGGTGTTTCCCTGTTTGACAATTTAATATACTACATCTTCCTCTAAAACAAATATGTCCTCATTTTATTTTGTCTAAAATATTATAATCTATTGGTATACTATAATCTAATTGTATGTGTCTATCTCACCTGCCATTATGCAGACTCTCTGCTTTATGATTCCAAAACTGAGCCTGACAAACAAGAAAAGGTTATGCCTATGCCATAGCTTCAAACTCTGGAGGATTTTAGATAAATAGAAGGAATGTACTTACTTCTTGCTCCTAGTCCCGTCCTCGAGTTCTATTATCATGAATTGCACAAAGAAAATTAAAGTGAACCGCACTTTCAATAACAGACAGCTTTAATGATGCAAATCCTTAAAAGTACTGGTTTATTTAAACAAAATGCAACATACTGAATACATATATTTATATACAAATAAAACAAAGGACTTTGAAAAAAGATATGCATCACTGAAGCTGTCTGCTTATTGAAAGTGTGATCCACTTTAATTTTCTTGGCAATTCCTGAACCTGCCTGTGACAAAACCCCATTTTTCTTTGTCCAAGTTATTTTTCCTTGCGTTCGGTAGACTAATCTACCGAACACCAACCTCCCCCTGGCTCATTTAACTTCAAAGAAACCACAAACTTAAGTGCTCTCTCTGTGTGGCTGCCGTTCAGGGCCGGTGCAAGGATTTTTGTGTACGTAGGCGAAGATTAATTTTTTTGCCCCCACCCCAAAAAATAATATCTTCACCTGTGTGCCTCATAACCTCCCTTTTGTGTTTCTTATCCCCTCTTTTAAATGTCGTACGCCTATTTTTTTTACCCATTGTGTGTCTTACTACACCCTTGTGCATCTCTTACAACCCCCTTGTGTGTCTCTTATCCCCCTCTTTGTATGACTCTTACATCCTCCCACATTTTGTGTCTTACTCCTCCAAGCCCCTTTGTGTGACTCCTTCTCTCCCAGCCCGTTTGTGTCTTTTGCATGTGTCTCTTTCACCCCAAGCCCATCTGTCTCCCTCTCAGTGTCTCTTTTTCCCATTCTCAAGCCCAGCTGTGTATTTCTTTCATATCCAGAACCTCTCCCCTCCTTGTCCCTTAGAGGTTCCCTTTCTTCCCTGTCCGTTAGTGTTCCTTTCCCCCTCCCCCCTACTTTCCCTGTCCCTTAGTGTTTCTCTCACCTCCCCTTTCATCCCTGTCCTTTAGTGCACCCTCCACCCCCTTAAAGGTCCTCTCCCCTTCCCCGTGTGCCACCTACTTCTCTTGTATCATGGCTCAGCGGAGCTGATCACCTTACAGGAGCTTCAGCTTTTTTGTACCCAACCGTACTGACAGGTGCTCTTTCAGTGAGAAAACAGAAACTCCTGTACCGCGCTCCGCTCTGCCATGCTACACTCAGTGGTGTTCACACTGATAGTCACACTCAATGACAAAACATACAGACACAATGACGAACATAATCTCTCACTGATTTGACAGACACACATACTTACACGTATTTACATGCACCAACATGCACACACTGTCACAGCACAGCCTGAGCAAGGCGTGGTTGCCCCTTTAAGGGACCTGACTGGGTTTGAACTTACAACTCCAGTATCCCAGTCAGGTTCTCTACCATGATATCCACCAGGGAGCTTCAGTATTTGTTGCATTCTCTTCTGCTTTCTGACCCCTTGCCTGGATTAAGCACTGCTGAATGGACATTCGTAAGAATTTTATGCCATTTGGACATTGCGATGCTTATAAATGTCCAAGGTGCCAAGCCCTGAAGCGCCGCAGTGCCAAAGTGCCGAAGTGATTTGGCTTTCTTAAAAGTGGTAAAACAAGAGGGAAGGAGGAAAACTACGTGAATGTTGACAGGAATCTTGACCAATAAGCGAATTCCTTTTGTGCAATGACGTCACACCGTGGCTGCCAGCGGACCATGAAGGACGTACAAGGGAGCTGTGCTGTAAGAGCCCAGTAAGTACTTTGCTCACTCGTTGCCTGCCATGGGATGTTTGTCCAATGCAGTCTTGCGCAGTTTCTACTGCGCATTACATGAATTGGACAAACATCCTTAGCCAATTAATATACAGAATATATAAAGTAGACATGTGCAATTCGTTTCGTTCCAAATGTAAATTTGTAAGAATTTCATGCCATTCGGACATTCGGATGCTTACGAATGTCTACAGCGCCCAAGTGACAATGTTCGGCAGTTCCGAAGTGCCGAACCGAATGCCACTGGTGCGAATTGCCGAAGCAGACACATTTTTTTACTTACACAAATTTCTGAACCAAACCAAATTTTTTGCCCATGCACATCCCTAGAAAGGAGTGCACGAAATACAAGGAGTTTGTTACACTGCCAAATACTTTCTCTCTTACCTGTGTTTTTTCACATCAATCAGCAAATATAATTTAACCCCTTAAGGACACATGACATGTGTGACATGTCATGATTCCCTTTTATTCCAGAAGTCTGATCCTTAAGGGGTTAAAGTAGATATATGGATGTTTAAGTTAGCCTCAGAAACATTTTGAAATTCAGTTTCTATGTGTAGTGTATCTGGATCCATGCACCTGTGTGCAACCCACAGTGTCAAGGGCAACATATGACCATAGTCACAGAGTGACCATATTATATTAATTATATAATGCTACATTTACATTCATGGGTATATGGAAGCATATGCATACACTGCATTCAGTACACTTCTATTTTACATATTTATATCTCCATCTGACATCTGTTTATCAGCTGACAATATCCATTTGAATTCATAGAAATTAACAGATAATAGATATCTATTTCTGTCTTTTAGAAACTCTTTATTTCGGCAGACACAGTTTGCTCTCTAATTAATATACGTGTATATAGTATTGTATATATTGACTCCATTATATTGTTCTTAGTTAAAACTATGAAAACAGTAATTTCATATAAAAGTATAGACACTGAAAATATATTATATGTTGCCCACTAGAGGATGCTATATATACACATAATAAAAAGTGACTGACAAGATACAGGGTGTAGAAAGCACTGCTTGCACAACAACATGGTATGCCTGTAAACTATGGCACCGAGGTTGGGGGGTAGTGAGGCTGAGGGTGGTGTGGGGTTTGTGAGGCTGGGGGTGGTGAGGCTGAGGGTGGTGTGGGGGGTAGTGAGGTTAGGGGTGTGGGGGGTAGTGAGGTCAGAGAGATCAGATGAGTCCTTCAGGACTGTAGTGGACACTGAATACACTAGCCTAGCTATCAATTGCCCTATCAAATCAGCAGCAGCTACACTGTCCCTCCTCTCATTAAGAATGCAGCTTCACAATGAATGTAAAATGGATGCTGTCCAGGAGGTGGGACGGTCTGGGAGGGAGGGTCTGCTGCTGATTGGCTGGAATGTGTCTGCTGACTGTGAGGTACAGGGTCAAAGTTTACTCAATGATGACGAATAGGGGGCGGACCGAACAGCCGTCCGTGGCGAACGCGAACAAGCGATGTTCGCCAGGAACTATTCACCAGCGAACCGTTCGGAACATCACTAATTGCAAGCACTATGACAACCTATTCTTATTGTACAAATTATGGTGCAAGGTGATCTCCCCATACATTATTTACAACTACAACAATTTGAGAAAATCTTACACATATAAACCTGCCACTTCCCAGGATTTTAATATTATGTTCATTTATCCCTATATTTAATATTTAACAATATATATTTGTGAGCTGTGAACAATCAAATTAAATATACAAATCCACACCTCTTTTTTTCTATTCTACAGCTAAGTACATTTTGTACTTGTACATTTTAGCTCCTTGTCAATCATTGTTATAAGCTCTGTCCTCTGCACTTGGCAGTCAGCACAGAGAAAGCATACATAGAAGAGGACTAAATAACCCCTTAACCCCTTAAGACCGGAGGGCGTACTATTACGCCCTCTAATAGGCGGCTCTAAACGCCGCCGGGCGTAATAGTACGCCCTCCGGTCTTTCTGTACTTACCCGGTCGCCGGCGGTCCCACGCCGGCGATCGCGGTGGGGGGGCTCCCAGGGAGCCCCCCACGGCACGACCGTCCTCCAGGAAGCCCCCCGGCCGTGTGAGAGTGGGGTCCTAGCGAGGACCCCACAATCACATGGCTGGGTATAGCTGGCTTCTGTATTGCCAGCAGGGGGGCTGCCTGTAATTACAGGGGGTCCCCCTGCTGGCTGAAAATAAAAGTAAAATAAGTTAAAAGTGTAAAAAAATAAAATTATATATACTTAGATCATATATATATTATATATATATATGATCAAAGTATATATATACACATATACATACACACATGTACACCGTCTAGGTGTATTTTACTATTAATATATATATAATTATATATATATATTAATATCAAATTACACGTAGACTGATACTGATTAAATATATATATAATTATTGTTATATATATATTTATATATATTATAAAAAAAATTAAAATGTAAATACGTTAAAAAATAAAATTACAAAAATAATTAAAAATAAATAATTAAAAAATATATAGATGTGTGTTATTTCGTTCTAACTGTATTGTGAAATTAATATATATATATATATATCAAAATACACATAGAACGAAATAATATATATATTTATACACATAAATATATACGTATATATCACTATATATATACCTATATATAAATAAAAATATTTTAAAAAAATTATATAGATATATACATATATATACACATACGTATATATATACATATATTGATTCTACATATATATTTATGTAATATTTTTACATAATTAGGTATCTTAATTAATTACAATTAGCAGGACCTGCATGACAACCCATGCCGAAAGTAAAGGGAATTTAATTTGCTAGCACTATATTTAACCCTATAACTTTCCAAGACACCATAAAACCTGTACATGGGGGGTACTGTTCTACTCGGGAGACTTCGCTGAACACAAATATTAGTGTTTCAAAACAGTAAAATGTATTACAACGATGATATCGCCAGTAAAAGTGACGTTTTTTGCATTTTTCACGCACAAACAGCATTAAACGGACAATATTATTGCTATGATACTTTTTACTGTTTTGAAACACAAATATTTGTGTTCAGTGAAGTCTCCCGAGTACAACAGTACCCCTCATGTACAGGTTTTATGGTGTTTTCAAAAGTTACAGCGTCAAATATAAGGCTTGCGTTTCATTTTTTTCACATTAAAATTCGCCAGATTGGTTACGTTGCCTTTGAGACCCTATGGTAGCCCAAGAATGAAAATTACCCCTATGATGGCATACCATTTGCAATAGTAGACAACCCAAGGTATTGCAAACGGGGTATGTCCAGTCTTTTTTAGTAGCCACTTAGTCACAAACACTGGCCAAAATTGGCGTTTTTTTTGCATTTTTCACACAAACAAATACTAACGCTAACTTTGGCCAGTGTTTGTGACCAAATGGCTACTAAAAAAGACTGGACATACCCCATTTGCAATACCTTGGGTTGTCTACTATTGCAAATGGTATGCCATTATGGGTGTAAATTTCATTCCTGGGCTACTATACAGTCTCAAAGGCAACGTAACCAATCTGGCGAATTTCAATTTCAAATGTAACGTGCTATATTTGACCCTGTAACTTCCCAAAACGCCATAAAACCTGTACATAGGGGGTACTGTCTTACACGTGAGACTTTACTGAATACAAATATGTGTATTTTATTGGAGTAAAAGCAAACAGTATTATGACACTGACCGTTAAAATGTCATGTAGAACTAAAAAAATCAAAAAAAATCGTATTTTCTCCCATTTTTTTCATATTAAATTATGTTTCATAGCTAAATATTTGATATTAAATGAAAGCCCTGTTTCCCCTGAATAAAATGATATATAATAAGGGTGGGTGCATTTACTATGAAAGAGGTGTATTACGGTTGGACAGACATGTAGCGCAAATGCCAGGTTTTGTTTACATTTTGTTTTGTTCACAACGTGTACATTTGGCTCCGTCCTTAAGGGGTTAAGGATAGGGACAAATGTTTAAGTTCTGATCAAAACAAAACATAAACAAAACCTGGAATTTGCGCTATATGTCTGTTCTACCTTATTTCACCTCTTTCATATTAAATGCACCCACACTTATTATATATCATTTTATTCAGGAGAAACAAGGCTTTTATTTTATTTCAAATATTTACACAAGAAACATAATTCATCATGAATACAATATAAAACATTTTGAGAAATTAAGATTTTTTCCTTTTTTTTGTGTAAAGTTAAAGGGTCAAAAATAGTACATTACATATTTCAGTTTATACACATTGAAATCTGCCAGACTGGTTATGTTGCCTTTGAGACTGTATGGCATACCATTTGCAAAACTAGACAACCCAAGGTATTTTAAATGGGGTATGTTTAGTATTTTTTAGTAGCCACTTAGCCACAAACACTGGCCACAGTTAGAGTTTATACACAACAAGAAGTGGCAAAGAGCCCAGAAGAGCTATTGACCTCAAAACAGGAGCGTAAGAATAGTGGAAATGTGACCACCTACCCTAAGTGGGAATATAATAAAATTGTTACCCTACTTGGATGGTATTCAGATCCAATGGATATCAGGGTGCATATAAAAGACAAAAATGGGGAAAAGCACATAGCATATTAAATAAGTGAAATTTATTGTACTGTAGATTGACAACTCACATGGAGTAGTGCCTCACGTAGGACAGGCTTGGATCTCTTTGGCAGTAGTGTCTTCTGGTGACACTTTCCCCTTTAACTCCAAATGGTATTCCTCAAAACAAAATGAGACAAAAGGTGACAAAGCAAGAGATGCCTTCTAGTGTAATAAGTCACAATATACAGAATAGAAATATCGCAGGGCAAATAACTGATCACCCTGTCCAGAGCCTGTAAACCTGGCTCTGGGTGGAATAGCTTAGGTGTCTCTAAAGGGGACACCACCCTTCTTTGAAACAGCAAAGTAGAGGGGCCCAGAGTTGACTTAAAACAAATGTATAAAATAAAAACTATTGCATGGGCAGGGTTAAAAATAAACAGTAAGGTGCGTGGCCTGGGCTCCGATGGACATGGCGCTTAACCGCGCTGCTCCGTTCCACACCAGCACTAAAATCAACAAAACGCACTGAAAACCTGCAATTACCAGCACACATGGGGCGCACTAAGCGTCCTGAACACCCCCAGATCCCCAGAAACACCTCTTCGGGGTCGCTCTCGGGTCCGATGGACGGCTTCCTCAGTACCCTGGCCGGGCCTACTCACAAGGCCCAGACTCCCAATATGGCGTCGACCTCTCCGATCTCCACATGCTCCAGCTCAGACGGCACCACACTAGCAGATATCGGAGCGGAATTAAAACGCATTGCAACAGCGATGGTCACTAAAGATGACCTCACACACCTATCCTCTAAACTCCATGAGGCAATTAAAACAGAAATGGCCGGCTTGAAGGGAGAGGTTAAAGCACAGGAAAACCGCACCCTGCAACTGGAACAAAAAGCACAGACAGCAGAGGATCACTCCACAGCCCTAAAACGCCACGAGACAGCAACTGGAGGATCATGATACTTGCGGCCGCCGCAATAATATCAGGGTGAGAGGGATACCTGAGTCTTCTGGGGGGTGGGGGGAATATAGAAGAACTACTCACCTCACTATTCCGTACAATCCTTCGTGAAGAAGCACCAGCCCACATTAAATATGATAGAGCACACAGAGCCCTGCGGCCGTAGCTCGCAAAAGGGACACCCAGGGACATTATCTGCTGCCTACACTCCTTCCCCCTGAAGGAATTGATCATGGCCAAAGCCAGACCCAGACCTCTCTGGACTACCGTGGAGCAGAGGTATCCCTATATAGCGACCTATCACCGCTGACCCTAGAGGCCAGGAGAGCCCTGAGGCCGATTACCACCATCCTCTGGGAGAAGAATATGCCATACAAATGGAGCTACCCATTTAGTATCACGGTCCGTCACAACAATGAATGGGTCTCCGCCAGATGGCCTGAGGAAATACCCCAATTTCTACAATGCCTGGATCTGCCACCGACACCTATCCCGAACTGGGTTCTACTGCCTTTGGAACCCAGACCACAACCTCAACGACAGGCCTGACAGAGAAGGACCGGAGGACCCACACGGAACCGCCAGGCGGACCTGACTGGCCCAGAGGAATGACTATCCCATCAATAGTCATCCTAAGACCGCTCCCGCGGGCCCCACGCTCTCAAACTGCCACCGACTGCTGACACCCAGAACTGAGAAGCGAGCAGACTGCACAACAGACTATGGAGAAAAATAAAAAAAGGTACACTGACAATTGGACTGCTGGGCTCTAGCATAGGTTTGGGAGTGGGGTCCCCCCGGGAGTGGACGAATATAAGGTCTCACCACAGGACAGATAGACCTAACGGACATCCCGACTAATGGGCCACTCCCACCCCCAAAAAAAGCATTCTACAGCACCATATAGTCCCAGACCAACCACCCCGATGAAAAGGAAGGGAAAGATAGCGAGAAGGACTGATGGGGAGGGGGAATTTACAGGGGAGTAAACCGGGACATGGAGTGAGGGGGCACAAGACTGTCAATGGGAACAATCGCGGATGGCACCCCCACTGGCCACAGCCAGCACAGAGACCTGAACCCGCACCAGAAAACGTGGACCTACGCGAAACCCTGGGAGTGATAGACTATACAGCTAAACAGAGGAGATATGACCCCCCCCCCCCGCTAAAGGGAGGGCACAGATGCACCACACTCCCAACCTCGCCCTAACTAAGCCATCACCACACACACATGGAGAACAGGCCCTGAGCAAGCTACAACCATCAATAGTATAACTCGGCACTACCCCCCTCCCCCTGTACCACACCAATGAAGAGAGCACAGGAAACCAGGAACCAACCTTCCACTAACATGCAAATGGCAAAGAGAGAGGATTAGGAGCTAGAGGATTAAGCAGGACACAACCTGAGTGCAGGGAGGAGGGTAAAATGGGGAAATAAGGAGAGGTGGGAGGATGAGGGGATGACGGGTGGGGTGAGGGCAGGGGGAGAGGGGACAAGAGAGAACCACACGCAACAAATAATCATCCCCCCTACCAAATAACAAAAAAAACAAAAAAAGACATAGAGTCCGAGGGCATTGGGGAACGGGAGGGGGGAGGACCCTTTACTCAATAAACTACACATGATGTTCCCATGCAGATTAGTAGAACACCAAGGGGGTTGAATGCCCCAGCAAGGTACTGGAGAAAGGGGTAGAAAATAAATCATGCTCTAAAGCGGATGACAATTCGCGGAGATAAACACAAGCATCAGTGAGAGGTTCACCCTAGCTATTTCACAGAGGAAGGACGGGACGACCTACCACAGAAACACACAACCACATAGTTCAAAGTTCTACTCCAAGTGACACTGCAAAGTGCTCACACAAAACAAACTTATCAACACACAGATACATCCGCCTTGACTGGCCAAGGCCCAGTCACGTTTCCCACCATTATCGGTGTGCACACTCGACACTGCGGAGTGCAGGCTGCGGACCACTGGGCCCAGCCACTGGGAAGCTGCCAGCCATCACCATAGGCACACAAATTTCCTCTCCTTAGAGAGGCCCGATCTCACCCCCACCCCGTAGTGGGACACAAACGCGACACACCCAGACACCCAATCTCCACACGAACACCCATCACACCCCTCACAGATCACAAAGAGACCACTACACGACTGACGAAGACCGAACAGTAAACGGTACCGGCAAAACACCTCTCGACCACTGAAAAACAAACACCCACAACCAACTCGCAAACACCCATCAGCTCACATGGACAACCCCCACTCACATACTCCCCCCTTACCCGCACACCCTGCCCCCCCTTACTCCCCTCTTTCTTCCTCTCTCTCTCTCTCTCTCTCTCCCCCGACCCTCTGCCTCCTCGCCCCCACACCCGCCTCCTGGCTCCGAGACCAGGCTCCCCCGCAGGGAGATCGCGCCCACTCAGAACACCTCACAGGACAGCCACAGAGATGACAAACCCAGTCGAAACCCGGGACCTCCCACCCACAGGAGAAAGAGAGATGGGGCTAGGCAACCCCGACGATTGAAGAGACACCCCACCGAAGGACAGACTCCACCAGGATGTCATACCGCCCAGACCCGATAAAAATCATCACACAAAACTGTCGGGGACCGAACCTGCCCGAACGCCGAACCCACCTCCTGAGGGAGCTTCGGAGAGAGAGAATAGCCATAGCTCTGCTACAAGAAACACACTTCTGGGAGGGTTCAGCCTCGATTCTAAGGAACAAACACTACCCCACCAGCTACTATAGCAACCACCCCACAGCTAAGAAAGTGGGGGTCGCAATTCTTATAGCAGCCAAATTACAATTCAAGGAACAGGAAACACTCATAGATGAGAACGGCAGATACACATTCGTTAAAGGAGAGATATCAAACCGAAGATACACACTAGCCACGATATACGGCCCTAACAACAACCAATCCCGATTCCTTAAATGCAAACTGAAGAAACTGGCAGTTTTTGTTGAAGGAACACTGATAACGGGAGGAGACTTCAATACCCCGCTGGACCTGAAAATTGACTCCTCCACGGGACACAGCAGTATCCCACAAAGAGAAATAAAGAACATCCACCAAACTCTGAAGACTCTACGACTGATTGACTGCTGGAGGGCCATGCACCCACTAGATAAAGAATACACACACTACTCAACAATACACAAGAGATATTCTAGAATAGACTTTCTATTAGTACAAGACTTCAGAAAGCCATCATTCACACAGCGACATGGTCGGATCACGGACAAGTATCAATAGACGTCGACTCCCCCTTCATGAGACCAATGAGGAGGACCTGGGGACTCAACGACACCCTACTGACTGATATGGTACTGCGAGACCAAATCACACAAACATTGACAAACTACTTCGCGGAAAATGAGACGGACGATGTCTCGGACATGACAATATGGGAAGCACACAAAAGCGTAATACGAGGCAAACTCATACAACTCGCGTCGCAACATAAACAGGAAACAGGCAGACTAATGATCGATCTAATTGACCAGATTAATACACTAGAAACACAACATAAATGACACCAAGTGGAAGACACCTACAAAGAACTCCTTGAGATGAGAAAGCAACTACACGCCCTACTGCTCAAGAGACACCTGAGACACCTACACAGATCCAAAGGATTCTTCTACATCCACGCAAATAAGGGAGGGAAACTACTCGCACATATGCTTAGAGGACAACAACAACCCGCACAAGTACACAGACTAAAAGAACAAGGAGGCATGTCCACACAACACCCAGAGGAAATCGCAAAGGAATTTCTCAATTATTACTCGTCCTTATACAACACACACAAACAAGGTGACGATGAACACGAACACATTAAACGGGACCGCACAGAACACTTCCTAAGAAAACACCTCCCCACAACCGTGACAGCCGCGGATGCAGAAACGCTCGATCAACTGATCACCGAAGACGAAATACAAGCAGCCATCAAAACAACAAAAACAGGTCACACCCCAGGCCCAGACGGACTGACCCTAGACTATTACAAACGACTCCAGGACATCCTAATCCCCAGGCTCACAAAAGCCCTGAACGCAATCACGGACGGGACAGCATTCCACACTGAATTATTATCGGCTACGATTACAGTAATCCCAAAGCCAGGAAGGAACCCGGAGGCCTGCAGCAGCTACAGACCCATATCCCTATTAAATATTGACACAAAACTTTTCACCAAGATTCTAGCCACCAGAATCCGCACTCTGGTGCCAACTCTAGTGCACCCCGACCAAACAGGATTCATACCGGAACGAGAGGTCCGAGATAGCACCCTACGGGTCCTCGCCATACAACACCTAACGAGACGAAACAAAACACCACTCCTCTTGCTCTCTACGGACACCGAGAAGGCATTCAACAGAGTAGATTGGATGTTCTTGAAAACAGTATTACGCCTACTGGGATTCACCGAAGCTATACTGAGCTGGATCGGAGCAATATATAGCAACCCGACAGTAACAGTCCGAGTCAACTGAGCCCTGACGGAATCCTTTCCGATACGGAATGGCACTAGACAAGGGTGTCCCCTGTCCCCACTACTATTCGCGTTAACGTTAGAACCCCTACTAGAAGCGATAAGATGAAACATCAACATCACAGGATACACATGGAAAACCACCACACACAAGGTTGCTGCATACGCTCATGATATGTTATTCTTCATCACACAACCGAGAATCACCCTACCCTGCCTAATGAAAGAACTCGAAGACTACGGACGCCTGTCAGGCCTCAAACTCAACCTGAATAAATGCGAACTCCTCAACATAAACGACCCGATGAGAGAACACAGAGCTATAGCCTCGACCTTCCCCTTCCGGTGGTGTCAGTCCCAAATGAGATACCTAGGGATTTGGATAACACCTGGAATTACCCACACATCACCTGGCTAGGCCGCATAGCGGTGATCAAAATGAATATATTACCCAGAATATTATACCTATTCCAC